CGGGCTTGGATACCTTGCGGCTGCTTCTTGGCTAGCTCCGTTCAGGACAACCCTGTGCACCCAGGAGGCCCTCTCCATCCCGAGTCGCTGTAGCCTTCTAGGGTTTGGGGTTGAGGGTGTTTTGAAGGTGATTTGTTGTTTCAGGTAGGCTGTGAGCTGAGGTCGTTAAGCCTGCTCTCCCTTCTCCACCGATGGAACTATCCTAGGTAGCATTAGGGAGACCCCTTAAAGGGGAAGCTTCTTAACCCTTCGTCTGTCGTCTGGCTCTCTTAGAAGGCCCCTTATTGAGAGGATCTATTCCCCAAGGGCACCAATCCTAACTCCCAATCCCATAACCCCCCCATTATAGATCCCGTATAGATCCCTTTTAAGGACCCCTTTAAGGGAACCCTTGTAAGTAAAGGAACCTTACTATAGCCCCAATCCGATACCCCCCCATTATGGAAACCCTATAGACCCCTTATAGATCCCTTTTTTGGACCCCTTTAAGGGAACCCTTTACGGCAACCTTGCTATAACCCCAACTCTTCACAAGTAAGGCCCCATTCTAGATCCCGTATAGATCCCTTTTAAGGACCGTTTAAGGACCCGTTTAAGGGAACCCTTTTAAGCAGAGGAAGCTTGCTATGACTCCAACTCTTAACAAACCCTAAACCCTAAACCGAAGTAAGGCATGTATCAGCCCTGCCTTCCTGCTGGCGCTCTTCTATGGGCAGGCAGCCCTCTCTCAGGTCTTGGGGTGATCTTGAGCGTGGGCTCTCGGTTTAATGTTTGTAGGTTTAGGGCTTTGGGTTTAGGGCTTTGGGTTTAGGGCCTTGGGTTCAGGGCTTTGGGTTGAGGGCTTTGGGTTTAGGGATTAGGGCTTAGGGTTTTAGCGTCACGGTTTGAGGTGTAGGAGATCCTAGAGCCACGCGGCTTGTATTTCTCGCGGTTTATAAGAGAACCTCAACCCTTGGACATCAAAATAGCCCCATATCCTTACATACGGTTGATGATATAAATCCTGCATGACCCATAATAAGGAATATACCATAATTCCCATAGTTTAGGGTCCTTAAGGTAATGCAGGATTTATATCATCAACAGTAGTATGGTCTTGCGGCCGAGAAGCCTTGATATATGAATCCTCAGAGCCCCAGGGAACAGGGTAACCTTGCTATGACCCCCAATTACGGAACCCTTATAGATCCCGTATGGACCTCTTTTAAGGACCCCTTTAAGGGAACCCTTTAAATAATCATTAGAGCCCCAGGGAACAGGGTTATGAGAAAATCAAGCGAACCCTCGGCCCGCTCCCGCGGTCCGATATTGGAATCCAAGTTAAGCTACCCAAATTATGAAAATGTACAATATTTACTACTAGATCCCAATTTTGGTAACTTAAAAGTAATTCTGATATTGGGTTCTTGTTACGACATTTTGGTTTAAGTTACCACCATAAAGAAACTATATGGGAGTTTCCGAAATTAGGGGTGCCTTCTCTTGGGGTCCTTATGATAGGGATCCTACTATTGAGGGTACTGTATTGGTGTTTCCTATTTTCGGTATCCCCCATATAGATCCCAATTGTTGTAACTTAAATTAGGAATCCACCCCAAATTACAGCAGGACCCCTTAATACTATTATATCTCTGGGTACCCTGAACCCTGCTAGATCCCTTAAAGGAACCCTAAGTACTCCTTAACGAGTCTCTGGGGATACGTCCCGGGGGTCTCCTGGAAGGGTCGTTACTTGGACCCCCCCCAATCCAACAAGGGCCCTTTCATAGAGTCCTCATGGCCCTTAATAATGGGTATTTGGGGTCTGTTAGAGGGTAGTTGGGGGCGTTTAGGGTTTTAGAGTTTTAGGGTTTAGAGGTTAGTTGGGGGTTCCAGGTACTTGTGAGTCCATATGGCAAGGCTTCGCGAGCGCTCGGATCATTTCACAAGGGCTCTTGCAGTCGTTGAGGGTTCCACCAGAGCCTCCAATATCCCTTAATTTAATTAAGGAAATACCTTGAATCATATCCTTAATTAAGGAAGTTACTTTAAATCATTTTAGGGATCCTATTGTCACTTTAGGCATATTCCTTAATTGCGGGAGATTGGAGTCTCTGGGTACCAGGGTTCTTTGCTTTGTTCTGGAAGGGCAGGGTCCTACTGCTTGGGCTTTACAGCGCGAGTCCTTTATCCGCGCATGCTCTTACGAGGAAGTGTAGCCCCTGACCGAATCGCTACGGATTGGTGATCTAGGTCCGAAAACCTAAACAGCAAACAACATAAATCCGTAAACTTACATGCTCGGCCCAATGCCACCAACATCTCCCACACCACCCCAAACCCTACATGAAGCCTAAGCCATCAGACGCTGAACCCAGTGAGAGTTCGAGCCCGTTGTTGGCCCGAGAAGCCCTGAGTCTATAATTCAATATAGTATAGCGTCGTATAGTATAATATAGTATAGCATAGCATAGTACGGTTTAGCATCGTATAGTTTTGCATAGTATAGCATAGTATAGTACAGTATAATATCGTGGACTCTAGTTTAAAATTTATAGCAAACTACATCTGAGTCTGCGCAGGCCACCGGCTCAATCACCAACACGGTGCAGCTGGCTAAATCGCGACATGGTGCTGATCCTGCTTACGAGGACTCGGGGTTTAGGGTTTAGAGGGTTTAGGGTTTAAGGTTTAGGGTTTAGGTTCATGGGTCTAGGGTTTAGGGTTGAGGGGTTTAGGGTTTAGGTTCAGGGGTCTAGGGTTTAGGGTTGAGGGGTTTAGGGTTTAGGTTCTTGGGTCTAGGGTTTAGGGTTGAGGGGTTCAGGGTTTAGGTTCAGGGGTCTAGGGTTTAGGGTTGAGGGGTTTAGGGTTTGGGTTCAGGGGTCTAGGGTTTAGGGTTGAGGGGTTTAGGGTGTAGGTTTAGGGGTCTAGGGTTTAGGGTTGAGGGGTTTAGGGTTTGGGTTCAGGGGTTTAGGGTTTAGGGTCTTGTGTTGGAGATTTCGCAAATGAGGGGTTGGCAGTCTGAAGGAGTTTTGGCACAAGGATGCTGCTGCTTAAGCTCTGGTGCGGAGGGGTCCCCTTAAACTTCCCCTAAGAACAAACCCCGCCTCCTATTAATCCTACACCACAAGGCTCTGAAACCCTCAACCGTCTGTAGGGTTCCCTAAACCCTAAAGGGAACTCCAGAAAGTTGGAATATGGTTTCAGGGTAGGATGCCTTATAATTTACCATAAAGGGCTTAGGATAACCATATTCCAACTTTCTGGCTTTTACTTTAAGGAGCGCAAGACCAATAGTCTGATTATTAAGGCCCCTGCATGAGCCAGTAACTGCCATGCACATGGCGCTCCTCCGGGTCCTCGTGATTCTGTGGTTCTTGGTTTCGGTTTAGGGTTTAGGGTTTAGGGTTTAGGGTTTAGGGGTTTAGGGGTTTAGGGTTTAGGGTTTAGGGTTTAGGGTTTAGGGTTTAGGGTTTAGGGGTTTAGGGGTTTAGGGTTTAGGGTTTGGGGTTTAGGGGTTTAGGGTTTAGGGTTTAGGGTTTAGGGCACGATGCGGACATGATGATGGGGTTTGTCATAATTAGGGCAGGGCTTGCATGCAGGACAGGGTTCAAAGCAAAGGGTTTGCAGTATAGGCTTGGAGCTTTGGGGTTGTCTTGTTGTATAGAGCCTGTCTCAATATAATCATTTCAAGCTCCCTAAACCCTAAATCCAAAACCCAAAACCCAACCAAAGCGTTTCAGAGGAGTATCTGCAGCAGACGCCCTTGGTGCTGCCAACACCGGGGAGCCTCCTGAGATCGATTGCTTCCGCCTGAACCGGCTAAAAGGGCGGCCGGAGACTCCAACATCCCTTAATTAAGGAAAACTTCTGTTGATGATATAAATCCTGCATTACCCATAATAAGGAATATACCATAATTCTCACAGTTTAGGGTCCTTAAGGTCATGCAGGATTTATATCATCAACCGTTATGGCTCCTTCAAGGGATCTTTAAGGGATCTATTGGATTTAGGGTTTAGGGTACCCAGAGACCCCTAAAATGGCGGCCTGGGAGTGCCAGCCGTGAGAGAACAAATGTGCATGGCGATGCTGGCGTTTTAGTGGGTGGCTGCTGCTCTGGATGATGGTGAGGCTAATGATGGTGAGAGCGCCGGTGATGACGAGTCCCAGTGATGCTGATTATGGTGGTGTTGTCAGTCAGCACAGGCCGCTTAACACGCGAACACACCCCGCATCCGAAACTTACAAACTCAGTCAGCCTCTCTACTTGGAGGTGCATGGGTAGTTTTAAGTGGGGGTTATAAGTAGGGTTTCTAGAGTTAGAACCATTAGGAGACTTATAAACCCGCTTATAACTACCCATGAACCTCCAAGTAACTTGTTTCATGTTGCTTCATCTTCCAGTTGGCTGGTCACACTAAACCCTAAACCCTAAACTCCTAAACCCTAAACCCCCACAGACAGAGTGTCCGCTCTGACGTATCACATGCATGCCGTTTGAACTCTGCACCTCAACGTAAACCCCGAACCTGCCCTTGCTGAGACCCCTATGGTATAGCCCAAAGCCGCACTCGAGTCATGAAGGCTCCTGCACTATGTACCATTATGCAAATTAAGTCGCCCTTGGAACCCTTCAGGGAAGCCTTATAGAATGTTCACAGCACCCTTATGGTACCCTTCAAGGAACCTTGAAAGGAACCCTCAAAGACCCTAAACCTCAAAGGAATCCACAAAAGCTTAAAGGAAACCCTTATATAAAAGCCTTAAAGGAACCCTCAACGACACTCAAAGACCCTAAACCTCATAGGAGTCTTTACCTGGGGGGTCGGGAGACTTAGTAAGTAGGTAGTAAGTAGACTTATAAGTACCCTAAAAGGGACCCTAATTGGGGTTATGGTACTTATAAGTCCCTAAAAGAACCAGTTACTAAGTCCCCCGACCCTCCAAGTAAAGCCTTAAAGGAGCCCTTCAAGGGCCCTCCGACTCTCTGAGGCTTTGGTGGTGCCGTGGTCTATGCCATGGTTCTTGGGGATGTGCCAGGAGCCCGGTCTAGGGTTTCCTTTAAAGGTTCCTTTGGGGGTGCTTTAAAGGGCTATAAGGGATCTATGATAGGGTTTAGGGGTTCCGTTAAAGTGTTTTTTTTTTACAGGGGTTACTTTGAAGGTTCTTAAAAGGGGCTAATGATAAGGGATCTATGACGGGCTTCGTGGTTTTGGAGTTTAGGGTTTTGGGGTTCGGGATAGGCAAGTTTCAAGCCTGTACTATGTTTGGGGGCTCCTTATACCCCTAGAGTATTGCGCTCAGGGCTGGCGTTTCTCGCTGCTCAGGCAGGTTTCAATGTGGGAGCTTCCGAAAACGAGGCCGTACCTTATTTTGGAATCCTTCTGATAAGGATCCAACTATTTAGGGTGCTATATCAGGGTCCCCCATATTCGGAAAACCTCATATGAGCATGGAACCTCGTCAGGTTTCGGGCTCACCACGGAAAATCACCTGAAGGTTTCGGGCCTGCCAATCTGTTTACGTTTGCCACAGGGAAACATCAAATCCAGCTCTGTTTCGTTTTTTCAGTTGGTTTGGGGTTTAACACCTAAACCCTAAACCCTAAACCTTAAACCCTAAACCCTAAACCCTAAACCCTAAACCTTAAACCCTAAACCCTAAACCCTAAACCTTAAACCCTAAACCCTAAACCAACAGTTCAGGGTTTTCGTTCATCATGGTCGCCTGGACTCTGAAGCGTAAGCCCTAAACCCTGTATGTTAGAAGCTGCCCCCACGCTGTAAAAGTGACTATAAGGACTATATTGGGGCCCTATTATAGTCCTATTATACCACTATTACAGGGTGGGGGCCCCTTCTAACCTCTATTGTCCAGGCCTTCCAGGGGGCCTTTTTTGACTGTTGGGTGGTCTTCGGTCCCGTAAAAAGGAACCCTTTTTGTTTCCAGGTTGCTGGACATTATGGTCGCCTAACCCTAAATCCTAAAACCTACATTATGTCGGCTTCCCAGGTTCTCGTCATTGCTTCAGGGAATGAACTTCGTTCCCGCGCTGCTTGCCCGGAGGCAGGGTGCAACTCAGAGTTCGATGGTTTAGGGTTTAGGGTTTGGCGTCTCGGGCTTCGGGTGCAAATGGTAGGTTTACAGCTAGCGGGCTTTAAACTAAGCCAAGGGGCAAGTTTTTTTCCGAGTTCTGGACTCCACCTGAATTTTATGGAGGCCCATGGGGGCCCTAGTTTTTTGGTGGAACTACAGCATTCTTGAAACCCAATCCCCAAATCCAAATTCGAAGCCTTGGGGTAGCGACCAACAAAGCAAAAACTAGAGCAACGTAACAGTTAAATACTTACCTTTGGTTCGTAGGGAATGGAGGAATGGGGTACAATTATAACTACTATTACTACCATTACATTCCCTACTAACCAAAGGTAAGAATATGGATCAGCCTGAAAATGCAATAGTATCAGTTGATAAATTACAGGCTACGTCAAGAGCCACTGACCCTAGAAGCCATGTACTTAGACCTTCTAAGAATCCCCTAAATCCTGTCGCCCAGCCAGGTGTGTGGTTCGGGCCCCAGCGTCTTGGTGATTCGGGAGCTTGATCGAATCAGAAGGTCTCGGAGATGGTTGGATTCCCTTCTTCGGGTGTCGGGACGTAGGGTTCAGGGGTTTGGGGTTTAGGGTTTGGGGGCTCAGGCTCAAGGTCCTTTGGGTTTAGGGCTGTCCAGTTTAGGGCTCGGAGGCTTCTGCGTTGATCACTGGTCATGCTGGAGGCAGGTGGATCGCACAGCATTCATGTAGACGACTCTCCCGAACTGTGTGGAACCTAGGTTTGCGTAGAGATTTAGGGTTTAGGGGTAGATCCCCGATTAATGGCCCCTTCCATCAATAGGGATGGTACGATTGGGATCCTTTTGATGTGAAGACCTCAAAGAACGGGCCCAACACCAAATACCTTAAACCCTAAACCCCCAACCCAACACACTACATCCTCAAGAAAGAAATACACAGAAATCATTGTGGACGTTGAAGTCCCCTAAACCGTCAATTTCACTCCCAGCCCCAGCCCATGGCACTACCTGCACCCCAAGAAACTTAGATCCCCAATACCTAACCTTTAAACTTTTTGGGCTCTTATAGTTCAGTAGGAATCGGAAAGTTTAACCTTTCATTTCTGTGGCTTATTGGGGTAGTAAGGAAACCTACTTTTTCCGCCCTGCATCCACAGCACCCGCCAACCACCTCAACCCGAGCCTCAAAGGTCCCAGCCCCAACCCCGAACCCTAAACTATAAACCTTAACCTTAGGGGTACTTGGAAATAATTTTTAAGTTTTGGATATTATAATCCCTAAGAAACGGCTAAAATTATAATTTTTGCTAGGGTTCTAAGTTCAGTATAGTAAACCCTAAACCCCAAATCTTAAACTCTACCCAACCCAGGCCCAACCCAGGCCCAACCCAGGCCCATCAACTCCGAAATCAAGTTTTGAAAGAAAACCTGCTCAACATTTTCGGTCAGAACGTTTCGTCAACACTTACTAGCACCCAAACTCTTAACAATTTCTATAAGTCCTACGCCTTATACCCTAAACCCTAAACCTCAAACCCTAAACCCTGAACCCCAACTCTTAAACCCACAGGTTTATCATCCCGGTTTCCCGTGGAGCCAATACGGAACCTGTGTCCAGAAGTCGCCAATACCCAAAACCCAAACACCAAGATTAGGGTTTAGAGTTTATAGTTCAGGGTAGGGCTTTAGGGTTTAGGGCTTGGGGTCTAGCGTTTAGGGTTTAGGGTAGGGCTTTAGGGTTTAGGGCTTGGGGTTTAGTGTTTAGGTTTTAGGGTAGGGCATGACCCGAAGACAAGTTACAATGTTGAGACGACACGCTGCACTGTGCCTTCCAATTTCCCAGATGGGGAAGAGCTGGGGGATCAGGGCTGTTCACTTTACCTGCCAGCCTTCGAGCCTGGCTGCTGCTTTTGAGTTCATTCCCAATTACCGCAGACAGTTCACTTGGGCGCAGTCGGCTGACAAGTGCCATGGGACTGACTCTGGCAGGATCACTTGAAAATGCGGCTCACATGATGGGCTCATGGAATGAAGCTGCTTGCTGGCTGCAAGAGGAATGCAACAGCGCTTGCAGGCCGTGCGGATGGCTGTTGAGATAAAGCCTGGCGACTTTGACCCAGAGTACCGCTTCCACACGAACTGGAGCGAGCTGCACCCAGTCCTTCGGATGGACTTCATTGCTTCATTTAACCATGGCTACCCTGTCATAATGCACCGGATGCACGGCCACAGTAGTGTCTCCAAAGAATTGATGGTAGCGGTGACGTAGATAATCTAAGCGTTAATCTTTTTGGTGTACTATACTTGGAGGTTCATGGGTAATCATAAGTAGGGTTATAAGTAGGGTAGCGATACTGATAACCCATATTAGGGGACTTATAGCCCCACTTATACCTACCCATGAACCTCCAAGCATCCCTAGTGATTGTTTTATAATCCACACATAATCCCTACATAATCCCAAAGGTACTGGACACGTCGGCAGCTCATCTGTTGGAGTTCGGGGCTGTGGGGAAACCGCTGCTGTTAAGGAATTTAGGGTTTAGGGGATTAAGGTTTAGAGTTCAGGGTAGCCACATGCCCTAAACTGCTGACCCTTTCACCAAAAAAGTAGCAAGACCTAACCGGTGCACCCAAAATCCCTGAACCCCCGAGTCTAACACCCTACTTCCTGCATCTTAGGTCCTAGATCTAGGCCCTAGACCTTGACCCCCTACGCTCTAATATCCCCTGAATCACCAATGCCGGCGACCAGGTCATAATTGCAACTTCCGTGGCCGGGAAGCCGAGTTCTTGCAAAAGGAAAGACCTCAAGAACAAGGTTCAGTACATAGGGTTTTGGTTTTAGGGTGTTCTTGGCTGCTTTGTGTTGTTAGATAGCCGTGTTGCTAACAGGTTCGAGCTCGGGATGCAGAAATTTGTAGAAGCTGTAGGATGCACCAGCTCTCGTTGGAGGCCTGGTAGCTTGGGTTTAGGGTGTAAGGTCTAGGGTAGAGTTTGTAGCACGGAGTTTGAGGGCACGGCTTTTCGTCTCTGGGGGATAGTGCAGAAACCAGGGTCTACAGGGTTTGTGGTAGTCTTTTGAGGGGTTCAGGGTTTGGGCGAAAGTTTGGGTGAAAGGCTGAGATGGAAGTGCAACGAGGAGTATGTCCCAGAACAAGCCAGAAGTGCAAGTGCAGGTTCTCTAGCCTTCTTGATCGTGATGAAGACTATAGGGCCTTAACAATTACCCATACTTTTTTCTCTGGTTCCATATTATAGTTGTGGTATAATGGCCCCAGAACCCTATTCGAATTATTAAGGCCGTGTATTAACCCGCAAGAACACTCAGCTGAGACAGAGCGGTTCGCGCCCTTGGACAAGCTGGTAGGACCAGTGGCATGGGATGCAGGGATAATCCGCATCATAAAACCGAACTCTGAGAGGGGAATCATCTCAACTCACACGTTCTAGCAGACACGCGCCTGGCTCTTGCAATCGTAGGGTTTCGGATGTTGGGGTGATCCCTAAACCTCAACCCGGATGTAGGGCTAGAGATTGTAAGGTTTAACAAATTGGGGTTTAGGTAAAGGTTTAGGGGTTTTGGGTTTACGGTCATCCAGGCCGTGCTTTTTCCTCTCTGCTGCCTGCGCTCCTTCGCGCAGTTGGCCAAGCTGCTGGGCCCAGAGAAAGCTCAGGATTCAGGGTTTACCTGCTTTCAGGTTCATGGGTAGTTGTCTTTGGGGGACTTATAACCCCACTTATAACTGCCCTTGAACCTCCAAGTTGGGTTTAGAGTGTGATCGTTGAAGCATCCAGCAGCCTATCACGTCTGCATGCCCCGAAACCTGCTTTCCATGATTTTATTGGGGTCCAGCCTTATTGGGGTCCCCAAACCGTAATCTCGGGGCCTTACTAGTGGTGATTAGAACAAGCTTTTTGGCTCCTTTATAGTATAGCTATCAGAAGGAAAAGTATTGGTATTTTTTTAGGCTACATTAATCCCAGGCTTAGAAAGCTATGTCAGCGGTGGAGTCGTGAGTCTGCGGCGCAGAAGCGCGGCTTTTTAGACGGGCATGACATATGCTTCAAGGGTCTAAACCAAGCCCGAAACCTACCCTCCAAGTCACACACACACACACACACCTTCCTAATCTCTAAGCCGCAACCTCGCCCAGTAATCTCAACAGAAATTCGAGAAGCTGTGCACATTCGGTTTGGGAGATACTGGAAGATCCATGTTTAGGACTGAATCTCTTCGCCCCAAAAAGGGGTAGGGTATGAGCCTCTAGGCTTAATTAAGTATACCTATACTTTGCCCCCCAACTGCGCAGGCCAACTGCACAGGCCCCTCTATTAGGAAATCTTCGGTCACATGACAGTAGTTCTAATATAGGGCCCTAAATAAGTGCCAGTACCATTCTGGTGTTCCTATCTATAATTACCGTAAAAATGTGCCCCAACACCTACTTCCTGGAACAGAGATCTCAACCAAGAAGGGAACCTGTTTTGTGGCTCTGGATTCTCGGGCTTAAATACAGAGGCCACGTCGCCTTACATTCACCCTGGAAACTGCAACTTTTTCATATTGATCCCGCACCTCCTTCCAAGACATATTTGTGCATCGATTTCAGGCTTGGGGTTTGAGGCCACTTTGGATAGCCATATGGTAGAAGGTTGTTTGGGATGTTTTGTTTTGTGCTTCCCCATGCAAGGTCTTGTACTTCACAAACCATGTTGGGGGTGCAATATCCGATTCCGTAGCGGTCAGCTAACCCTAAAACCCACAGCGTAAAACCTAATCCGCATCCTGTCAAGAGTCGATGCGATGATCGAAAACGTAGACCATTTTCTCTTGATCGAGTTCATGCGGATCTCATTCCCGACCAGTCGCTGAAGGCTTGAACCGGGCTTTTGTATAGGGGTTTCCGGTCGCCATGACGGTTTAGGGAGGCTTAGGAATCGATCTTTGGGCCTGTAAGCTATGATGTTGCAGTTCTACATGGGTCCGTCTGAGAAGGGTATTGTCCGGCATTGCTACAGTACCCCAAATTTCTCAAAGACGTCTGCAACGCAGAATGCTTCCGTAGTTCCTGCCCTCATGCCGTGCCATCCCAAAGCGCCTGTTCCCGACCAAAGCAGAGGTTTTCCTTACTGGGCACCCTGGCGACTTCGTATGTGGCCCCCCCGGCAGGGCTTGGAGTTTAGTGCAGGGGTTGGAATCATTGGCACCAGTACCCTCTTATCTTCCTCATGTCAGCATAGCCTTAAGGGTCCATGTTGTCCTAATTTAAAGGTTTTGGTGCCCAAGAATTGCAATACTTTGATGGGGAGTACTTGGACCCTGAGTTTGGTACACTGTACCGCAAAACCGACTCTGATCATCAAGGCGCAGATTGCAGAATGTTTGTGTGTTGCTGACACGGTTTAAGCCGCCGGATTCCGGGCAGCAGGATTCGAGACCGCAGCTTAGTAGTACCTAGGTAACCTTCAAGCTGTTGGGCTTAGTTAGAGTATAGGGTTTGGGGTTGAGGGTTTAGGGTTTTGGGGTTAAGGGTTTCTTAGTCCTACTATAATCTGAAAGGTTAACCTTTCTTGGGCTGGGATAGTCGGCCCGTCAGACTAGAGTAGCTATCGCTTAACCTGTGTGGGATCCTTGCAGAATCTTGAAGGTCAACCTTTACTTCCCCTAGGATGCACGGCAATCAGTAGGCAATGTAAGCATTGAGTCGTGGGCCGTGGGCTGTTTGCCTTAAGCCCAAACCCTGAAGATTCTTAAACTCTGAAACAAGGAGAGTTTTGCCAAACCATAAGCCCATTAGATCATTCAGAACAAGAGAGTTTGGCTTCAGTTTTCCAGGGTTTGGGGTTAAGGCTGCTAAGCGTGAAGTTTCTGACTAGGATGTAGCATGTTAAATTGGTCTTCAACACTGAATCCTCATAACCCGAAATCCCTTAATGTTAAAGATCAAGCTCCAGACCCGAACATCCCGAGCCCCTACACCCCAAAGCCCAACATCCATAGAATCTACAGGGGAGTTCTACATTTCTCGTGTTGCTAGACCTCCAAGCCCTACCTTTGGTCTCCATTGTAGTTCCTTTTTCTGGTTTAACCAAAGATATACTTCAAAATGAATTACAATGGAGAATATAGGTAAGATCCCTAAAGTTGAGTAAGCATTGTCTTTCAGGGCTTTAGGACTTTTCGGTGAGGGTTTAGGAGTAAGCATTGTCTTTCAGGGCTTTAGGACTTTTTGGTGAGGGTTTAGGGATGTAGGGTGTTTAGGGTTTAAGGGGTTCAGGGTGTTAGTTTGTAGGGTTAATTAGCTACATTGACCAATTGAGGTGGTGGTCTTCGTGGTCAAGCGATTCCTCGACGGAAGTGTGCGCCCCAGGGCTCTATGGCCGGCTTCATACTTAACAGGATTACAGGGGTTCATAGATTTATGAAGGGGTTGTCGTCAGCTTGTTGGTCTCTTGTCGCAAGCTTCATTTGGAGCTAAATACCGCCAGAGTGATACGAAATAAGGTGAACATTACTTATCATGCTATCTACCTGTAGCCAAGTTCCTGAAAACCCACCACCAACATCGAGACTACATCATGGCAGCTGAAAGTACGTAGCTGATTTCGAATCTGTACAGGTACACGTGATGTGGGCTCGCTTAGTTCAGACGCTTTGGGCAGGTTATATCCTGAACCCAACATGTCCCAAGCCCTAAGTTGCTCAACTGTTGTGCTGTAGCCACAGGAACCCGTAATGGTAATGGCCTGAACACTAGACTCTGGGAGTGACTCTGAGCAGGCTCACCCTTTATGCCAGAGACAAAACAGGTCATGCTTACATACCACTGGTGGACTCGTCCAAAGCATCTGCTGTCTCTGCCTATTGTAAAAGCTCAAATAATTACCAGCATTATTCCTTAGGGCTCCTTCATGTAATTGCAGTAAAAAGATGCCTTAAACCAATTCTACTAGGACTTAGAGTAGGCCCTTATTCCATTTTTAGGGTTCACGTTGCCTTATAAGTCCCTTTAAAAACCAACAAGGGAACCCTTTTTATTCCTAGGTTATTCTTGGGTCTAGAATCGTTCTGTTGGACTCTTCCACATGGCCGTTGGCGGAGGTCTGGTTGCGCATTCGGGGCCAAAAGCCCCAAAACCCTCAATTGCACGGGCAGTTCTCTACATTGGGATCCCTTGTAGGCTCCTTTTATACGGGGCACCGTACTATTTTGTTTTGGGACCTGAAACGTGACCCTAATGTGCAAGGAGTCTAGGCCCCCTAAAGCCGCCTCAACTCTGAACCCTAGGCCGTTTCCTGAAACCATTTCCGGCTTCAGGATTGGCTTGGGTTTGAAGGCCGCTTTCTGTCGCAATCCTTTGAATCCTGGGCCCTGAAAGCAGAACATTGACGTGAACCCGAAGTAAAATACCTCAAGGGTCCATCATCTACTCCGCCGGCGTCCTAAACGGAAAGGCCTGCTAGATAATCAAAAACTCCAAAAGGCGAAGAGAGTGTCCTAAACCACGGGCCTCGTTGCTGAATGCTTTGGATGTGCGATGTGTTGCCGAAGCTGTACGGTTTGTGGCCGGTTTCTTGGGCTCGTTTCTTGGGCTCCAAGTCGCGCCCTCCTAAACCCCTAAACCTTTTTATAGACCCCTTAAAGCCCTCTAAAGAACCCATAAAGGAACCCCCTATAATACCCTTTAAAAAGGAACCCGAAACACTTAGGTGTACGATTTTTGGTGTGTCTTCGGCTTCCCTCAGTCTCACGGTGCTGAGATGCACGATTTGTTGTGGGTATCTTCTTGGAGGTTCATGGGTAGTTGTAAGTTAAGTAGGGTTATAAGTAGGACAACTATACTTGTCACCCATATTAGGGAACTTTTACCCCCACTTATAACTACCCATGAGCCTCCAAGCTGGAATCCACGGTGCTCCAAGTAGTTCTCCAGCACTGGGGTGCACGGTGGCTTGGGCTCCACGTGGTTCCCCAGCGCTAACATGTACGATGTGTTGCCGGTGTCTCGTGCTCCCATATGGGAAATTCCCAAAATTGGGGGTACCTTATTTTGGGGTCCTTATAATAAGGATCCTACCATTTAGAGTACTTTATTAGGGTCGCCCGTTTTCCAAAACTCCCATATTGGTTGGTCGTAAAGCCCAAACCCACCATGGCCTTGTCGCGCACACGCACCCCCGAAGCCGTGCACCGAACCCAGGACATGTAAGTCCTTTGCCCTGCCACTTCTTCTGCTTAGTAAGTAGCTGAGTGGATACACTTTACACTTTTTGGGATAATACTACCCACTATAAAACTGAAGGTGCACACTTTTTGGGGGCTTATGAACTCAGCCGCTAAGTCTGGGATAGTTAGACCCACAATCCACAACATTGTTTTGTTTGTTCTGGCTCCTGTATTTAACCCTAAACCCTAAACCCTAACACAACAGTGGATTCTGCTGATCTTTATAAGTGCTAGGCGGAAAAAGGCGCTCAAAAAAGAACCCTAACATAGGGGCCGAATAATTAGACCCACAACATTGTTCTCTTTGTTCCGCCCTCTGGCACCCGGCCTTGAGGCTACGCTCCTGGCGGTGCTTTCGCACATCAGCACCTGCCTGAGAGGTGCTTGCAGGAGTCTTAAGAAATTGCATCAGAATTGTAATGTGGGGGCCTTAAAAGAGTAGGGTTCCTTTATGGGGGTCCTTAACGGGCTACTATAAGGATTTGGTGTTGGGGCCTTGATAACTAGAATAGGGTTTGGAGTGTATGTTATTATACTATAATTCTAATACGGAACCCCCAAAACCCTATTCTACTGTTAAGGCCCCTACATTAGGCGTAATTGATCGAAAGAAGCATTTACGGTTGGGCTGGTGTGTAGCTTCGTGAGCTATGCCAAAGGGCCTCCTTTCGGGTTTGGGTTGCAACGTCTTGTCCGTCTTGAGCGTCACAAGCTGCTGCACCATGGGTGCAACTTCTGAGACTCCCAGATTCTCGCTCCAATGTTTAACCCCGACTGCTATGCTGGGTAGTAGTGACCTGAACAGGGAGCCTAACTTAGATAACTACGCATACGTCGCTGGAGCCTCACTTACCTTCCATCTGGGCTAAATGTTTACGATTTTGGGTTTAGTTTAGGGGTCCAGGGTCAGTCAGGGTCTGGGTGTTTTAGGGTTTAGGGTTCAAAGTTTCGGGTAGCTTTTCATGAAGCGGTGGAAGGAATTGGTGTGCGGACGGAATCCGCATCCTGCGAATGTGTTGCGTATGGAAACTGCCACGGAGTTGTGGAAGTTACTGACACAGAAACAAAGTTGCACTTGCCAAATAGTAAAAACTCAAGGTGTGCGCTTGGTAATTATCGGTATGCTGACGACGGAGGCATGTATTTATGTAGAGCGCATAAATCTAGCGGAGTTGGTAGATCTTACACCCGAACTCGCAAATCATACATCCACAACCCTACAGGGAGAAGGGAGGCTTATTACTTAGTATCAATGATTGAATCGAATCAATTGCCGCCCTCCTAGGCTTTTAGCCACACCACACGACCAACGTGGGAAGCCTCGCTCAGACGGCATCGCGCTGCGTCTTGATCGCACATGTACGCCGGCCTCGCGGCAGCCGGGCGGACAAGGAAGACCCGGCGATCGAAATCTTGGCACAACACCATGCGCAAGGAGAGCGACAATGTGGCGTAGCAGAGACAAGGAGGCCACTAGATTCACTAGATTGCGTTGCTGTTGTGACCTAGAGTTTGAACTACCCATAAGTTAACTACTTCTAGCAAGCTTGAGGAGTCAACTCCAATCGGTTGCAAGGCAGCACGGAAAAATCCTTGTTCCCGAAGCCCGACAACGTAAACTTCCCGTTTCAGATCATCACAAGAATAAGCAACCCTAACCCGAAACCCTACTGTAAACCTGAAAACCTACCTGGACCCCCCTCAACTACCCTCTAGTATATATACCCTGAATTCGGCACTTGGGTCTTGGTAGACCCCAAACCGTAAACCCCGAACCCTCAAGCCTGAACTCCCCGAACCCTTAATCCCCGAAACCCCAACCCCTAACCTCTAAACTCCGCAACCTTCTACATAATTCCGTAGGCCCTAAACCTGGAAGTTTCAACCCTTAACCATGAACCCTAGACCTTTCAATTTAGGCCTTAATATTTAGAATAGGGTTTTCTGGGCTCCTTTATAGCAGATCTCTCATAACAAGGACCATAAGAAATACTTCTGGCAATTACTTAAGCTGCTACATTCAGCAACCGGGTAAACGATGCCCCTAAACCCTAGATTCCAAACCCGAATTAAACCCTAGACCTTCAACCTTGTAACCCTTCCAAGCCTTCTAACCCAGAGACTCCAACATCCCTCAATTAAGGAATATACCTTAAATCATATGAGGGATCCTCCTCCAATTCATAAGGTTTCTTCCTCAATTACGGGATTTTGGTGGAGTCCCTGGGAATTTTGAACCCTAAACCCTATAGATCCCTTATAGACCCCTTTAAATATTCAAGGAAGCCTAAGTAGATCCCCTAAAGGAGCCGTCAGTAGATCCCCATACAGGAGTCCCCTTGTAGACTCTTTACAGGGACCCTCAGTGGATCCCTTAAAGGGACCCTAAGTAGATCCCTTAAAGGAGCCCTTGGTAGATCCCTTAAATGGAACCCGAAGTAGATCCCTTAGCGGAACCCTCTTAAAGGAGCCCTTATGGTTCCTTTAAAGGAGCCCTTAGTAGATCCCTTTGAAGCGACCCTCTTAAAGGAGCCCCTATATTTCCTTAGTAGATCCCTTTAAAGGGACCCTCTTAAAGGAGCCCTTCTTTTTCCTTAGTAGACCCCTCCAAAGTTCTCCAAGCATTCCGAGGGCAGCGCCGGCCATGGCTGCGGCGTCCCAGGGCCTGGCGGAGCCCTCGGCGTAGTGCCACCGGGGGTTTGAGGGTTTAGAGTTTTCGAGGGCTTAGGGTTTAAGGTTTAGGGTTTAGGGTTGAGGGCTTTGGATCTAGGGTTTAGGGTTGAGGGCTTTGGATCTAGGGTTTAGGGTTTAGGGTGGGTTCTTTTTAATTTATAAGGAACTTAATTAAGTACTTAAGGATCTATTATGCACTTTAAGGGTCCCTTCAAGGGATCTAGAGGGGTTCCATTTAAGGGTTCTATAAGGGTTCAGGGGTTAAGAAGCTGCTGGGTTCTCGTTATGAACTGCAGGGTTAAACAGCTCTACAGCCTATTATTTTGTTGAGTTTAGGGTTTAAGGTTGGGTACTGCGCCCCCTCAGTAACAGTTGGATAATACTTATAATATTGATCTATTAGGACCTTAAGCCCTATTATAGACTGTTACTGTATGGGGGCAGTACCCAAGTTTAAGGCTTAGGGAGTTTAGGGTTTGGGGGTCAAGGGTTCCGGGCCTGTCAGTATGTACCCATACGGTATGTATTTTGCCCGTAACTGGGTACTTTAATCAAAGGGGAAAAGGAGGGACCCTTAATGGGGACCCCTACCCTATAATGGGCTAAAGAATGGGTATATAATGGCTATATTAAGGGTATATTACCTAGGGGTCCTTATTAAGGGTCCCTCCTGTTCCCCTTGGATTTAAGACCCAAGGGGTACATGGACCTTGAGTGTACCAGGCTGTGTAAAGTCCATATTTGAAAATTTGGTTATTGAAGGGTTCCAGATGGGTGCAAGGAGTGTTCTGCAAGGGTTGAAAGCTTGGGGTTTTGGGGTTTGGAAGTTTGCCGGGCTAGCGTTCCACAGTCAGGTTTGTGCGATGTCTATGTGTTCGGCCCAACGCTTACGACACAGCGGCTCCTAAATCTTGGAGACTCCAGTATTTCTAGAGCCGAAGGAGCCCAGGTAATTAGACAGTTTTCTGAAAGGAAGGTCTGTTTTAATTAGAGTCAGAGTAGGCTTTCGGCACATACTACAGTAAAGCTGAAGGCGCAGTCGCGCATATTCCTGCTAAGCCTTACGCCACGAGGCAAAACTTGCCGAGGAATCTTCTGAATTCCGGGGTTGCAGGCTTCAGGAAGAATTCACAAGGGCCCTTAGACAACCCTCCGAAAACCTGAGAACCCCACCCAGGCCGTAGAACACCTGACACCCCGAAAGCTCTAAACCCTACTATATAGCGGCTTAAATACTATTCTGGGGGTTTCTTATTATAAATATGGTACCGTGGCACCGAAACCCTATTCTAATGATTAAGGCCCCTATATTACACCTAAGTGCTGTCTCTAAGCCATGTCCCCTAAACAATCCTAAACCCTAGGCCCCAAACTGATTTCAGGTCGGGGGTCCTTCGAATAAGGATCCTACTATTTAGGGTCCTATATTGGGGTCCTCTGCTTTCGGACCTCCCAGGTCCCAATTCAACCCTAAACCCTGAACCCTAAAAACCCTATGCCCGATATCGATTTCAGGCCAACCCCCAAACTCCCATACGGTTGATGATATAAATCCTGCATTTCCTTAAGGACCCAAAACTATGGGAATTATGGTAGATTCCTGACTATGGGTAATGCAGGATTTATATCATTAACCGTATCATATACACCCCCACAACTTATAGAAACCCTTATAGATCCCTCTTAGTAGCCCTTTAAAGGACCCCTTGATCTCAGGTCCCTATTCTGAATAGATCCCTTTAGTATAGACCTCTTATCGTAACCCTTACAAACCCAGTTTAAAGGAAACCTAAGCCCTAAACCCTAGCTAAAGCCTATAAGCCCGAAATCGATTTCAGGTGAACCCCCAAATGTTGGTCTTGGTGGCCTTGCTGTCCACGGCCAGCGGCTCTGGGGTGATTGGTGGCAGGGTGGAGGGTTTAGGGCTTTAAGGGTTTAGGGGGTTTAGGGTTTAGGCCGAAACCCTAAACTCCCTAAACCCTAAACCCTTAACCCTAAACCCTAAACCCTAAACCCTTAACCCTAAACCCTAAACCCTTAACCCTAAACCCTAAACCGTGTGGAGGGTGTGTTTAGGCGGGCCCTTTTTGGGTTCCTAGGCTTCTGAAACGTCAGTGTTTCAGGGCCTCGTCGGGCCTCAGTTTTCTTTGGTGGTTGGGAAAATTCTTCGTCTTGCGGTTCTCTCTTCTTGAAACTCTCGGGTTTGAGGGGATGGCAGGACCCTTTGAGCTTAGGGCTGGGGGTTTGGTGCGTTTCGCAATTCTCAGGGGCTTTCAGATGGTACAGGGTGTGGGGTTTCCATCAACGGAAAAAGGGTTTATGGTGGCGGCTGCTTTCTCCGTGACTCACACGTGGATGCTGTTCTCGCTTCGGATGCGGGGTTAGTGGGGCAGGATGGACTCTGGACGTCCGGACAGTCTTCACAGAAGTGGTAGGGGCTGCTTTGTCATGCATAAATCCTGAATAACCAGTATTACAATTCCCTTACAATCCCTACACAGCTGTTCTACAATCATAATATACCCGTCAAGCCCTACCCTGATGATTAAAGCCCATACTTCATAAAACTTGTATATAACAAAGCCAACAAAGGAATCCTGATCTGACCCTATATGGCCTATATTACGTACTGAGTCTACACTGCCTCCTAGCAGCTCCAGAAAGATGTAGGTCTCCGAACATTTCACTAAGTTTTCGATACCAGCCTAGGAATATTATTGCAGCTTGGGAATAGGTTTTGCAAAAAATGTGCCACAATCTTCACTCTGGCAATTTAGAACTTTTAGAACCAGGTCTCTGAATGAAGCACCGACATTACTCCGTGAAATCCATTGGCTTAAAACCCTGACACTCTAAGCCTTAAAGCGATAGCTCGTAGGTTTAAAAGTTTAGCTGGCATAGAGGACCGACTTCGATACTTCTCGTCTGCGGATGATCGCCGAGACTTTGCAATGCGGGTGAGAAGAGCCCTTCCCCTTCCTGCTGATGAGAATTTGTCTGCTGGCTGCTTTTTTCTCTCGTGAGGCCAGAGAAGGACGGTTTGGTGGAAGAACAAGCATCGCTGGTCCGTCAAGGAAGAGAAAGCTTGGAAGCACCATGGAAAGAAGTACGCTGTGAATCCCAACGTGCGGCTGTGTTTCTCTTGGATCATCCTAGCACAACCCGCCACAAATTCTAAAACTCCAGGCATTAGAGACCTAAGGCCCATGAAACCCGTAAGTCGCAAGCTTTAAAGCATCGGATCTGAATACTTCACTCCCGGCGAACTGACAGACACCTCCCCCAAGGCCTTCCTCGTGCACTTTAATGCGCCGCAGTTCTTTGTGGAGATGCCCCCAGCAGAGCCGGGGCCTTTCCTTTCTTGCGGTTGTCGCCCATGGGGCGGCTTGTGGCTCAGGGCTTAGAGTTTAGGGTTTTATAGCGTTGTGGGTTGTGGGAGAAGAGGTTTGATGTCTTAAGTTGTGTTGCTCGAGGTTTAGGTAATATTGTGAGGTTGCAGCGGAGGTAGATAGCTGGGGAAGCGTCATGCAGAAGGGGTCATGGTTTCGGGCATAATGATTGTGTTCAAAGAGGAAGCTCAACTGGCTGGCTCTTCTTTGGTTGTTCTACCTCTGCCAGGATGGAATCCAAACAGACTTTGGTCCAAAAGCATAGGGTTTGGGGTTGGGGGTTGAAGGTTTAGGGTTGGGGTTGAGGGCTTAGGGTTTGGGGTTTGGGGTTTAGAGTATGGCTTTGGAAGGATGCAGTAGTTGGATCCGAATAAACGTCCATTTTCTGGGTTCATTATCATTTTCCTTATATGAGTCCGGAACAGTTAGGTATGCAGGGTTAAGGTAGTTGTATATGTCATATGTTCTCTCTGACAAGATTGGACCAACCACACATCTGCTACCCTACGTGTTCTTGACACGCGCACAGCCAGGTTCCCGGCTGGCCATCAACAAACATCGATGAATATGGCTTCAGAAAAGATGCAGCATTTCGCTTGTATTTATGTACGTAATTTGACAGAGCACCAAAAAGGAGCCCTTAAAGGAACCCATAAAGGGAACCCATAAAGGAACCCGTAAAGGGAACCCTCAAAGGAACCACTCCCTAAAAGGAACCCTTCAGAGGAAGCCCTAATGTCCCAAAGCCCTAAGATCCTAAGATCCTAAACCCTAAACCCCTACAAAAAAAAAGGAGTTCAAACAAAAAAAACCTAAAACCCTGAACCCTTAACCCCTAAACCATATTTGCCCCTCACAGCCCAATTCGTAAGCCGTGCTTTAGTTTCAAGGCCAGCTTCGGACGCTGAGGCGAAGGAGCAGACTGCGATTTTGTGTTTTCCAGACCTATCGGGTTTTTCCTGACATTTACATGGGATTACAGGGGACCTTATGCATTGTTTGAATGCTTTCATAGTCGTTAAACGGTTGCAGCACCCATATCCTGTCACGGACCTTACGACATATCCCGAACTGCTAGGTTGAACCCTTACAAAGCGCAGCTTCAAGACACCGGTGAAGTTTACCGAGATAAACAAATCACTCGGAAAGAAGCCCTCGCGTACAGGAACCCTCAGGGGATCCATCAAGGGAATGCGTAAAGGGAGGCCTGAACAGAACAGGAGCCTTTGGAGGGAACCTGGAAATGAGCCCGCAACAGGAACCCTTAAAGGTACACCTTAACAGGACACCTCAAACAACCCCAAAGCCTTAAAGGAACCCTGAACCCTAAACCCCTGAACCCTAAACCCCTGAACCTTAAACCCATGAACCCTAAACCCTAAACCCTACCTTGAGGGCAACCGTTACAGGGAACCAGTTGGGAGTTTCCGAAAATTAGGGGTACTTTGTTTTGGGGTCCTTATTTAGGGTCCCCCCATTTTTGGAAACTCCCATTTAATTTCTTCCTGTCACTTGAGCCTGTGCCCTCATCCCGCTTGCCTTTCGGCTGCAGTTAGGCTGGACATCGTGCTGCAACCTTCTATATGTGCATGCAAATAAAAACTAGCAGCTTAGGAAAACGTATGCAGCTTCACTGACGCAGCCCATTTAGAGCTGGCTCAGGAGAAGCTCCAGAAGTTCGGGAAAGTGGCGGTCATAGGCTGGGCCGTAAAAATGGGGGGGGAGGGGGGGGGGCCCGGGTGTTGGGGTTTAGGGTTGGGGTTTAGGCCTAGAGTTAGCGGGTTGGGGTTTGGGGTGTGATAGATAAGGGTTAAACCGATTCCTTTCAGTGGATCTATAATGGGTTGAGGGTTTGGGGTTAGGGGATCCATAACGGTTCCTTTGAAGGGATCGATAAGGGTTGAGGGTTTTGGGTTTCGACTTAAGGCTTTAGGCTCTAGGGTTTGGGGTTTTGGGGGTTGAGGAGTTGGGTTGGTGGCTTTTTTGTAGGGGAAGGAAATAAATGTGCGGTTAGAGCATGAAACGTGCCGAAATCTCCTCCTTCATGCCGAGCCCTGAAACCAACACATCAAAGCAGCCATGCTCTTCCTGAAGGCTTTGGCATCGCGTCGGTTCAGTACGTGGCGGGCCAAGAGGAATGTACCGTAAGACCCGAGCTCGTAAACCCCAGCCCTACGATCTGTGTTTTCGTGATTATCATGTGTTGTACAGCACCCATGCGCGATCCGAATGTCCCCTACTCAACGACTCTCTGAGGATTGCTTCGGGACAGACCTTTCCTTGTAGTTCATTCTCGTCAGTCGGTTACTTCATTTTTCCACTTCAGGGCCCCGGACTCATAACATCTCATCTTTACCTGAGGCGGTAAGCCTCACAGGTCTAGCCTACGTCTACATCTTTAATTCCCCAACACCCTGGAACACAAAGGGCCGCATTCCACCCACAAGCTCTGAACCCCAGAGCTTAACGTCCGGATTAAACCAGCAGTTATAGAGAATGAATGAGGGGTCCCAAATCTAACAGCAAGACTTAGACAGATGTATGTATTTTTATGACGCACCCCGCACAGAGTTGCAGGAACTGGAACTACGTGACACCAAACCGAACCCTGCCCCCATAAGGACCTGCATGACACGTAATCTAGAGAATCTAGAGGTCTGAACAAGTTGATCAGGAAATGGAGGGGGTGTATTGCATCGTACTGAATTACAAATGTTGCCTAAACCCCAAACCCTAAACCCGAAACCCTAAACCCCAAGCCCTAAACCCTAAAAACTAAACCCGAAACCCTAAACCCCAAACCCTAAACCCATGTATTGACAAGAAGCCCTAAAATGATTATCAAGCTGTACTACCCCGAACGACGGGCCCCTGGGAATGCCTCAAGGCTTCACAAGCAAGGAGATCCTCAAAGCCCCTTTAATCATAGGGTATGCCCATACTTGGAGGGTCGGGGGACTTAGTAACTGGATATTTTCAGGACTTCTAAGTACCATAACCCCAATTAGGGTCCCTTTTGGGGTACTTATAAGTCTACTTACTACCTACTTACTAAGTCCCCCGACGCTCCAAGTAGGCTCCAAAGTAGTTTTTTTGGGGGCTCGTATTTAGAATTCTATAAGGTAATCCCAAGAAGGAATTACTATGAAGCCTCTTTGTAGGGTGTAGGGGTTCAGAGTGCACTAGGCCCGAATGCACTGCCTAAACCCACTACAGCCACTTCCTCTATAAAATGGGGCTTCAGAGTATTAAGGTAGTAAAGCAGGGGTATCCGAAACCCTAAGGCCTCTAGGATGCCCGGTACTACCCTTATTACCGTTTTGTAGTCCCAGGTTCCTTATAAAGTTACCCAATACCAAAAAGGGAGCCCTTTCTACTCCTAGGTTACTGGGCATCCTAGGCCGCTGTGATCGCAAAACCCAAAAAACCTGCAGCCTTACTTGGAGGGTCGGGGGACTTAGTAACTGGTTCTTTTAGGGACTTATAAGTACCATAACCCCAATTAGGGTCCCTTTTAGGGTGCTTATAAGTCTACTTACTACCTACTTACTAAGTCCCCCGACCCTCCAAGTATGCTCTGAAGCATCAAAACCCAAGACCATGACCACCAAAATTGAAGCGAAGAACAAAACCCGCGGCTCCCACAGGGTTTAGGGGCTTCAGGGTTTGTAGGGGTTTTTTAGGGTTTTAGGATTTTCAGTGGCTTCTTCAGCAGCCGGTGTTGGGTTTCAGTAGGGTTTGGGGTTTTAGGGTTTAGGACTCCCAGCGGCTTCTTGAGGCAACCGGTTTAGGGCACTGTTCCAATGGAGTACTTGGAGGGTCTTTAGGGGACTTAGTAAGTAGGTAGTAAGTAGACTTATAAGTACCCTAAAAGGGACCCTAATTGGGGCTATGGTACTTATAAGTCCCTAAAATAACCAGTTACTAAGTCCCCCGACCCTCCAAGTATTCGATTCAGAACCATGCTACCTGGCCAACGTTTTAGCTCGAGGGGCGCCTGGTTTAGGGTTTACTTGGAGGTGAACTCCGAAGACAAACCCCAAACCGTAAACAGCCCGAAACCCCCTAAACCTACTTGTAGGCTCATTCCCCTAGTTTGGGTTTTAGTATGGTTGCCCTACTTATAACCCTACTTGTAGCTACCCATGAACCTCCAAGTAGGGGTGGCAAGCCCTCAACCATAAATCCTGATGGTTGATATGGACACTTAGCGACCGACCCTAAAGAATAATACACTCCAAGCTTAGAGCCCTAAAGGTTACAACCAAGCTTAGAACCCTAAAGGTCACAACGACGGATTCCGACACCACACAAAGAGAGTCTGAAACCTTGTAGAACCTCTTGAATTCACGGATAGTAGAGGTTTTAGTCCACTGCAACTCGGTTCGTCTTTCCTTGCAAAGCCGAACAAGATCCCGACTAAGAAACCCTAAACTCCAAACCGTCATCAAAACTACTTGAACCCTCAGCCCTTCGCCCTACTTGATCTTGCAACACGCATTTTGCTCTCACTTCCAGTGCAAAATGCAGCGCATCAAGGTTCGGATGCTCTCCCCCAAATGGGAGTTTCCGACAAGCAGGGGGTAACAAATTTGGGTCCTAAAAAGGATCCTACTATCTAGGGTGCTATATTAGGGTCCCCCATGTTCGGAAACTCCCAAATCAGGATGATTGCGGTTCCGCCTCAAGAAAACGCGCAGCTTTATCCAAATATCCCAGGCCCTTGTGATGGCCTTTGGCTTCCTCACCTTCGGGAAGGCAGGGCACATGCTTTCGGACTTGTAATACAGGGGCCTTAGTATTTAGAATGGGGTTTTGGGGCCCATTACACTATACCTATAATGAGGACCCCCCAAAATAGTATTGGCAACTATTTAGGCCCCTGTAGTAGGAGTTTGGAGCAAAGAAACAGGTGTTAGATGGCTATGAAGGGCATCCTTGCTTGTGGGATTTCGATCGCGCAAAATGTCAGGGTAGGTACGTTTCCTAACAAGAATTTGCAATAGGGACATTCAGCTATTCCAGATCACTCCCTACATGCAAGCGTGGAGTATAGGGTTCCCTTTGTAAGCTCATGGCCATGGGCTCAGATTTCCATATGACCTGCCCAAGGACTTTCGAGTCAAAGCCCTCTACAGTGCTCAGATGCTCCTCCACAGCCGGCCCGGAACGTGTTCGCTGTTTGCTTTCGAATTGTTTAGAGGTCCCATGGAGGGCGCATGTCTAGTTTTTGCAGTTGCATAGGCGAGTCATGAGGTTGCGGGTTTGTGTTTCAAGTCCCATAAACAGAAAAACGGGCCTACAGGGCGTTGTAGTGATTTGTGCTGTTCAGCGAGGCTCTGTTGAAGTCCCAGGAAGTACACGCCAAAAACAAGTTCTCCAATTGCAGATTGAAGGTCTAGCTAGTGTCCAATGCCCACAGCTCAGGGTTCAGGACTTAGGGCTTCCTGGTTTTATAAGGAGTACTTGCTTTCTCCGTTGAAAACAAAACCCCTGTACGAACTCGCAACCCCCAAACCATGAAACCCGAATCCTATAGACTGTTTGTATTTCCCTTGACGGGACCTGTTGATAACCCGACAGCCTTGAACAAAGCCTTTTTGAAAAGGCTTCAAGATAAGAGGCCGCCACTGGCAATGTGCTGCTCAACTACGATAACCTCGACCCTTGGGCAGTAGGGTCCCCAACTTGAGGGTTCAAAGTCCCTAAGCCCTAAACTCCAAACTTTATTTGGTGTCAAAGTCCCCAAACCGGTGGAGTTCTTCCCTGCCACACCCTTGTTGGGATCCTGTTTCTGTTTCGTCCATGACAACCTGCTTTCTTCGAAACCCTAAACCCAACTTCGGGTTTCAGCGTCCCTATAAGCCTAAACCCTAAACCCAACTTGGGGTTTCAAGGTAGTTGGGGCTTCGATGGGCTTCAGCTGCCGGCTGTGGTGATGTTCGGCTTTTGGATTTTTTTGGTCTTATGGTCTTTGAGTGTAGGCGTTTAGGGTTTTAGGGTTTTGAGGTTTAGGGCTTAGGGTTCAAGGCTTGGGTCTCTACTGGGAGGATCAGCGGACTTCTCCTTCATATGCTTCGCTCTTGGGGTTTAGGGATTTTTCGGGCGTGTTGGGGGATACTGAAGGATCGGTGCACTGAGTCTTAAAATATATACGTAAGGCAAGTATAGCCCGGTATAGTCAGATATACCCACTTATAGCCCCTCGTAAGGTACTTATACCCACCTGAACCTCTAAGTAGGGTTTGGGGTGCTAGGCTAGGTGTGTAAAGTGTGGGGTTTACGGATTGCTGTCATCCTTTCTTGTTGCTTTGGGAGCTTATGGTTCAGTAGTAGGGTGTTTTCCGGTTCAGGAGATTGTGTAAGTAGACCGTGTAAGTATTTACTTTACGTGGGGTTACAGGTATGATAGGTAGTAAAACCTACAGTTACCTTCATCCTTCAAGACATGTACGGTGCCCATTGAAATAGGGCCTGCCACAGTTTGAGCGAATGGGCTGCCCTAGATCCGAAATCTGGAACCCGGGGTTCGAACTGACTCCTGTGTGCAGGTTCATGGCTGTTACAGGTACAGGTAGGGTTTCAAGTTGCACTTTAGGTTTGGCAGTGTAAGTCTTTTTTTTGGTAAGTTCATGGGTGTTGCTTGCAGGGCTACAAGTCGTAGTTTAGGTCACTACGGCTTCAATCTGTTCTAGTAGACACCTGCAGCGTGCAGGTACGCCCTTCCATTTTCTTCTCAGGGGTTTTCACGAGTGTGGCCAGCAGGGTTTTATGCTCCTCTTTCTGACCCCATAATTTGGGGCTGGAGGGGCGAAGCTGTGTAGAGTTCTCTTGGCTTTCCGGCCTTCCTTCCAGCGGATTGCATGTAAGAGAGGCCTCTTGACAGAAATCGTCCCAACAATCGAAGACAGTGTCTAAACATGAGTTCGATGCATGCTAGTGCGCGATACTGCCTAATGCTGTCGTACAAAAAATCAAGGCCCTCTTGCAAAGGACCAGGCATGAGATTGCCCGCTTGAAGCATGATAACAGAGCTTAAAACAGTTTCAACCCCACCCTGAACCACGACTGTTGTTTCATGTAGTTTGGTCTGCCTTCTTTCAGCGCCTCGAAAACCTGGGTGAGACGCAGACCGTGGCAAAGCTAAAGCAGCACCATTTTGTGCAAAACGGCGGCAAGCTGGATGCCCCGTGGCGGTCCTGCCCCGATCGCATCATGCCGGGCACAGACGTCGGAACGGCGCCGCAAGCCTCCGGCACAATGCCACCCTCATTCCCGCGTGCGAGTTTGCGGCAAGAGCTCTTTCTTGCTGGACCGACGATCATCGTGGCCAAAGACTTTGCGGCTCGCGGAGAGACGCTTCAAGACTGTTCTCACGTAGGGTGCTTCGTGGACCAGCATAGCTTTAAGAATGAAGCAGCTCTGGCTGCCGAACCCGAACAGCAAACCCTAAGCCCTGAACCTTAAACCCTAAGCCGAAACCCTAAACCCTCAACAACAAGTGCAACTCACTACTACTGCTGCTACTACTACTACTACTACTACTACGACTGCTACTACTACTACTACTACTACTACTACTACTACTACTACTACTACTACTAGTACTAGTACTACTACTACTACTACTACTACTACTACTACTACTACTACTACTACTACTACTACTACTACTACACCTACTACTACTACTACTACTACTACTACTACTACTACTACTATTATTACTACTACTACTGCTACTCTGCTGAATCTTGCAGGCAGCAGCACGCGTTGCTGTGGGGCTTTCGACGCTTTTCGGCTATCCCATGCAGTTTGCAGGCCTGGGCGGCTCCTGAGGTTGGGGTTTAGGGTTTAGGGTTTACGGTTTAGGGTTTAGGGTTTAGGTTGTAGTGCTTACCTGTAGCCGAAAAGACCTACCTTTTTAGGGTTCCTTATTATGGTTTCTATATGTAGATCCTTAAAAAGGTAGGTCTTTTCGGCTACAGGTAGGGATCTCACAACCCGAAATCCCAGACCCTTCAAGGATCAGCTAATGTGTTCTTGCAAGAAGTGTACACACATTGATGGAGCCCTGCAGCGTGGCCTACCCCTAACCCAAAGGGTCCTAGGTACCGTTATGGGGGATTCTTTCCCAGATCATAATCGTGAGTCCTAATGTAGAAACCCTACATTTTGCTGTCAAGGTATTTGGGACCCTCGGGAAAGTAAACCCCAGCCCTCAGCAGCACGAACCGCACCAAGCAGAGTTGGAGGACAAATCCAGTACACTGCTATAAAATTACTGGCTTCTTGTTAAGGAGATTTATTTGAAGGTTGCCACAATACGGAGCCATAGTAACTAACAGGGTTTCTTTGTTTGGCAGCTTGAACTAAACCTCTTAACAAGAACCCACCTTGAAGTCCAGGCAGCTCATGTAGGGGCTGAGACCGATGCAAGTTCGAGCGTATGCAGGGGAGCAAACGTGTCACTCCCGCGGGCATTCCGCCTCTGACAAGATCCGTGTCTACACACGGGATGGTATGCAAGTTCGAGCGTATGCAGGGGAGCAAACGTGTCACTCCCACGGGCATTCCGCCTGTGACAAGATCCGTGTCTACACACGGGATGGTATGCAAGTTCGAGCGTATGCAGGGGAGCAAACGTGTCACTCCCACGGGCATTCCGCCTGTGACAAGATCCGTGTCTACACACGGGATGGTAGATATAGTGTACTATAGTATATCATAGTACAGTTAGTAGTAAATTACGGTATTCAGCACTACCCTGCGAGCTCGAGACACTGAGCGGCGGATCCTGCGAGAAGTACATGACAAGTGCTCAGCATCCTCGTCGTGAACGGTTGGTAGGATAAAGGGTTTAGGGTTCAGGGTTTAGGGTTCAGGGGTCGTTTAGGGTCGCAGTCATCGTGGAACCCTAAACCCCCCCGAAAATTGAAACCCTAAACGGTACGGATCGTAGTCATCGTGGGTTTTATTCGAGCCAGGAGGCGCCCCAAGAGCGGAGAAGGATGTAGCGGCTGAGAGTTTCTGGATCACCCGTCGGTTTAGGGTTTGGGGCGTACTCCGACACCCAAACCTTATCGCTAGACTAGTAGGGTCTAGGGTTTCAGGTTTATAATGTTCCTTTTTTCGGAACACTCTTCCAGTGCTTGGCGCGTTGGGAGCCCCTGCGTTGCCAATCTTTCCTAAACCTAGAGACTCCAAGATTGATTCGTGAATTTACTTTAAACTAAAGGAACAGAGTAATTTATATCAAGTCATGGGCATCCATATCTCATAATTGTGTCTGCGCGTAAGGTGTTCGATACAACTTCTTGATTAAATATGGAAATTTCCGCAAGCGTAACCATGTTCCGTGGTAGTACCCCTCTGCCCTTTTTCCTTTTGGGCCCCCTTATCAAAACCCACTAGTAGGAAGAGGATACCCTTATTCTTAATCCGATAGTATCCATTGTAGTTGCTTTTTTATGATGTAACCAGTTATGTTTTAGGATCCTAAGCCCTGAAGCCTTAAACCCTCAACCCCTAAACCCTAAGCCCCTAAACCCTAAACCCCTAAGCCCCTAAACCCTTAGACTCCGAACCCCTAAACCTCTAAGCCCTGAAACCCCTGAGCCCTCAAACCCTAAAACCCTAAACCCTACACCCTAAACCCCAAACCCTAAACCACCCCAACCCCTAAACCCCTAAACCTTAAACCCAAAGGAAGGCTCTATTCAGGAACCTAGCTAAAGTCTTGGAGGCTTTCGCGATGGCATCCTGGAGGCGCCTCATCGATGCCAGAATTTTAGGGTTTAGGGGTCTGAGGTCCAGGATTCAGGTTTCAGGGTTTAGGGTGTTTTTCGGAGATGCATCAGATTTCTGTTGCTTTTCATAGGGTTCTGGAAGGGTGTTGGAGGCTAAGGGTGATAGGTTGAAGGTTTCGGGCTCAAGGTTTCAGGTTTTGGGTTTCTTGTTAAGGGTTTAGTTCGGGATGGCCTTCGTAGCGATATAGTAATCCTGTCACCGGCAGAGTCATTCAGTTGTGACCAGTTGACAACATTTCGGCTGGGGTTGCGGCTCAATCCAGGGACTCCAATATCCTTTAACTAATGAATATACCTTTCATAGTAGGATCCCTGATACGATTTGGGGTGGTCTTCCTTCATCAAGGGATGTTGGAGTCCCCTAATCCGTAAACCCAACCCTATAGATCCCTTAAAGCTTATAGATCCCTTATGGATGCCTTAAAGGAACCCTAGGTCCTAGGTATCTTCCAAAATGAAAGGATGTTGGGGTCTCTGGGCTCACTTCAGGGACGGGCGGATCAAGAGCTCAAGTAGGGTTTAGGGTTTAGGGTTTAGTAGTAGTAGTTATAATTGTACCCCATTCCTCCATTCCCTACTAACCACAGGTAAGGGGGGCCATGGTGAAGGCCAATGTGGCACCAGCTGAAGGACTCAGTTGAGAAATGCATGGTTTTTCCATGAACCCTAAACCCTAGTAACCCTTTGCACTTTAAAGAAAAACCCAAACCCTAAAGGGTTTTGGGCTTCAAGGGTTGCAGCCTTTCTGCAGGCCCATGGTGGACTGGAGCGACCACGCAACCCAGAGACTCCAATATCCCTTAATTAAGGAATATACCTTAAATTATAGTAGGATCCCTACTATAATTTAAGGTATATTCCTTAATTAAGGGATATTGGAGTTTCTGGGAACGGATCTTCCATGGGCTGATCTGATATTCCCAACCAGCGAGGGGGTGGAAGAAAGGAAGCTGGGAGTTTCCGAAAACTAGGGGTACAATAGTTTGGAGTCCTTATAATAAGGATCCTACTATTTAGGCTACTATATTAGGGTCCCCTGATTTCGGAAACTCCCATCTAGCTGCGTGCAAGGCAGACATTGCCGATATCTCATCGGGCCCGCTGCGAAGGTGCGGCAATGGTTGCAAAGCAAATTCTGAGCTGTGGCTCTATCTGGGGCGGGGTCTATGCCGGTCATGATGCGGAGCCGGTGATGCTGTGTTCCGCTCTCATTGCAATACAGGAGGTGCAAGTCCATCATACGTAAGACAAAGAAGCAACCCTGCGGTGTGCGAGCGAGACGCACCCAATTTCAGATTGACTTTGGTCAGAGTTTGGGGTTAGTACCGGCTGTCAATGATTCACCTTCTTTGTGGGGACCACCCAAAGCAGCCCGGAGCAGGTTTTCGTTGCTTTGTAGGTCACCAATGATGGGAACATATCACATGAGTAGAAATGGCTTCCTCATTCTGGCAGCTTAAATGTAGCTGCTTAATTTTAACCCCTTCAAAAGACTGAAAACTCCAACGTAGCTCACGTTGTTGTCGACTTCCGGCTTTTTTCCTGGGCGGCTTCTATAAAGATTGCAGAACCCTTGCCGTAACTATGGGTTGCCGACAGCAGGAATTAGAAGAAATCTGGAGTTGGGATTTAGGTTTTCTGCTCCTTATTTAAGGAATACTGTACTATAGGCGCTCAACAGCCGGAGCATGCTTCGTCCGACGAGGGTCTTTCGCCTAGAACCCGAAGCCCTGAACTCTAAACCTCGAACCCTAAAATTGTAAAGCCCCACCCTCAACCCTAAGCCTTGAACTCTTGAACTCTAAAACCCTGGGCTCAGTTTGGAGTTTGGAGTTTCGGGTTTTTGCCCAGAACCTTGAACCCAAAACAAACCCTGAGCCCTAAACTCAAAACCTTGAAACATAAACCTGGCCTTTTGGATATACATGTATAGAAAAAACATTATATATATATATATATATATACATACATACATACATATGCATATCTTCAAAAACAGCCCTGGCTTTTGGCAGTACGAGCTGTCAGGTCTTCAAGATCGACGCTCTGAAGACCGGCCCGCTTCTGTGCAGCATTAGCTCTTTTTTTGTTTTTGATTTTGGGGTATGTATTTTTGCTTTTTGTGTCTCGTTTTTTGGCTTTTCGTGTATTTGTTCTTGCTTTTTGGGTTAGGGTTTTAGAGGCTTAGGGGTTTGGTTGGGGGCTTAGGGTGTAGCGTTTAGGGTGTAGGGTTTAGGGGTTTAGAGGCTTATGGGTTTGGGGGCTTATGCAAGCAGTCAGCAGACAATCCGAGCGAGAGCGACGCCCGGATCCTTAGCCAGAAGATTTAGATGCAGGGGTTTAGGGTTTAGGGGTTCTAAACCCTAAACCCTAAACCCTAAACCCTAAGTTCATGGTTTAGACTATCGGGGTTTCGGGGTGTCAGGGGTTTAGTGTTTTTGTCTTCCTTGTGGGCTAGTCCCTAAACTCAAAAAGCCAAGCCCAAAAAGCTAAAACCCAAACGCCAAACCAACTACCCTCAATAGCAGTCCCCAGTTACCTCTTAATGAGAAATATCAGAGCCCTTTAAAGGGTACTTGGGGGGTCCTGGTAGGCCCTAAACCCCAAAACCAACGAACCCTACTTCTAAAACCCCGAAGACCCTAGACCTTGGGTATGGCCCCCACTCAGTAATAGTTGAATGATATTCATAATATAGATGTATTAGGACCTTAATAGTAGCCCTATTATAGACTAGTACTGTATGGGGCAGTACGTAACCTAGACCCGAAACCCCCAAGCCCTTCTTAAGCCTGAACGTGTCGGTACAGGGCTCTGGGACTGGTTTAGGGTGTAGTGTTTGCAGGGTTTAGGGGTTGAGGGTTTAGGGGTTGAGGGTTTGCAGGGTTTGCAGGGTTTAGGGTTCAGGGTAGACCCAACAGCCTAAACTCCAAGTTCTGCACCCTTGAAGCCTTGCACCCATCAGTTTCAATCACCAGACAAACACGACATAATGCCACTCTGAAGCCCATTCTACTCATTAGCCCCCTTTTTTTGTAGCCTAAACCCTAAACCCTCAACCCCAACCCCAAACCCTGAACCCTCATAGAGTCATAGATCCCAAGAAAAACCCGGCAAGTTCCAGGCACCGGTTGGCCACCGCATCGCTATTGGGAGTCGCTGTAGGCCGGGCTCTGTCAGCTCCTCTCTCAGGTTAATTCTTCTGGGTTCTTCTCAGGGTATTTCACTCAAGGTACCATAATAAAGAAGCCATCCTCTTTACTATAGATCCCGATCATTATGGTCGCTTAAGTTAGGTTCCGTAACAAGAGCCCAGTTTTTTGCAGCTTGTTATGAGGGCTTCATTGGCTTGACAGGGTTTTGCACTGAGTTTACATGCTGTCTTTATGGCGTGTTTCTGTGCTCACTCGGTTTCGTAGGTACTTTCCAGGGTTTGAGGTTCCGAATTCAGGTCTACACGTAGCCTCGAACCCAAAGGTTCGTCTAGCTTTCTTTGTAAGGGTCAAGGGTTCAGGGTTTGTGGTTTTTATGTCGCGAAGGCTTTGGGTTTAAGGTTCTGCAAGCCTCGAACCTAAGACGCTTTGCGGGCTTGTTGTATGGGTCTTATATAGCTTTGCAGTTTTCTTAGATGGTGCTCAAGAATCAAGGTAATGTAGGGCCCAAAATGCGGAGGTTCCTGAGTATAACTGTAGTATAATCCCTATTGTAAGAGTCTTCTGTAGCCTTATGCTGACTACCCTGAGACTCCAATATCCCTTAATTAAGGAGTATACCTCAAATCCTAGCAGGGATCCTCGAGTTTAGGGTGCATTCCTTGATTGAGAGATCCCAGAGACTCCAATATCCCTTAATTAAGGAATATACCTTAAATCATATTAAGGATCCTACTATATTTTAAGGTAGATTCCTTAATTAAGGGATATTGGAGTCTCTGGGATATTGGCGCTCTGGGTAGCTTTGTTGATCCGACCCCTCAGCTTCTCCAGAACCTCTAACTTAAAGACTTAACCCTAACCCTCCTCGGCCCTAAAGACGAGGGTTCCTTGTGATTAGGGGCATCTGCGCTGAAGCCTTAAACCCGAAGTGCCGACCGCCGTTTGTATTTATTGAGCATGGGATGGGACGAGTATGGCTTCTGAGGTTTGGTGTTTAGGGTGCTGTTCTTTTGAGGGTCGCGAAAGAAGGACCTCAACAAGGAAAATGAGACGACGAACAATTGGACAGACACAACAACGACAAGGGTCTCTCTCCGTCTCTCTCTTCTATCTCTATCTCTCTCACTCTCTCTTCTCTCTCTCTCTCTGCCTCTTGCTCTCTCTCTCTCTCACTCTCTCTCTCCTTCTCTGTCTACTTTCTCTTTTCTCTCTCACTATCTCTCACTATCTCTCTCTATCTCTCTCTATCTCTCTCTCTCTGTCTTTCTCGCTCAGTGTTACACACACCTAAATAAACCACAAGCCCACACCCTACAAATCTTCGTGTTGTTTGCGAGGGGTCGCCTGCGTCTTCCGGGACCTGGGGCAGTTCCAGGCCGTGGATGCTTCTGAGTTGCATGGTGCAATAATATTACTGTACTAGTAGTAATGTTATGGCTATCTGATGATGGTGATTATTATCAGTATTACTAGCTTTGTTAGAGATATACTGCTAGTGCTACTAGTGTGGCTATTGTTATTTTGCTGTCATTGTTGTCATTAGTATTATTATTGTCCTTATTACGATTACAACTTTTGCCATCATAACTATGACGTTTACTAGACAGTGCCATTATCAATATTGGTAGTTTTATCAAATATTCTGGGCACGCAGATCTGCGCAACTCGTAAAGCCCAAAATCTTCAGTTCAGGTTTGAGGCCTCGGTTCATGTCACGTCCTACCTTTGGTTAGTAGGGAATGGAGGAATGGGGTATAACTTAGAAGGGGCCCCCACCCTGTAATAGTTGTATAATAGGAATATGATAGGGCCGTAATATAATCCTTGTAGTCACTATTACAGGGTTGGGGCAGCTTCTAATGTCTATGTCCTTTGGTTAGTAGGGAATGGAGGAATGGGGTATATCTATAACTACTATTACTATCATTCTGCCATTCCCTACTCACCAAAGGTAAGATGTCTTGTCCATCACGAAGAAAGATGCGTAAGAGCTTGGAGAGTTGGTACAGGGGCCATACGGTAGTGCTTAGGAACTAGGGTTTAGCGTGGAGGTTTTGCGGTGGTCTAGGGGTGTCAGAGACATCAAGGGTTTCATGTGGCGCAAGCAAAGATAGCTGTCTACACGCGATTCCTGCCGCCCTTCGCGTCAACTGTCGGAGCCCCAAGCTCGCAAACGCTTATTAAAAAACAAGTCCGAAGAAACCCTTTCAGGTTTCGGGCTTAGGGATCAGGGTTTAGGCCCTATATGGCCTGAGGCTTACACCTTCTCAGCCCTATATAAGCTCTTAGCCTTCAAAGTCTAACCTATAGTCTCCATTGTAGTTCCCTTTTTTTGGTTTAAAAACCAATTCTATATTAAGGATCCCGAAAGGTAACCCCAAAAAAGGAACTACAATGGAGACTACAGGTATAAACCCCGGAACGAGAGGCACTCGGAAGCTCAAGGGAATTAGTACGCAGTACCGTCACAGGGATATAAGTACAAGTTTATGCAGGGGCCTGAGCAATTACCAATACTATTTTGGCGGTTCCTTATTCTGACTGTAGTATCCCATAATCCGATTATTAAGCCCGCAATATCAATTTATAATCCTACTTGCTAAGTTCCCTCACCCCTACGCCCCAAGCCTTACTCCCCACAGCTGCAGGCAATCGAGGGAGCCATGCTCGCTGCTTTCCTAATCTTTGCTGCGCCTGGTGCCCAAGTGCAACGGCTCAAGGTTCCGGGTCTGGGTTTCAGGGTTTAGGGCTTAGGGAAGAACCCAGTATCATCCCTCGTTGAAGGATCGTTCCTGAGTGATATGGTTTGGCTCTGGAACTGATTAGCAGTTTGTTGTTAAGGAACCAACACCCAATTGCACTTGTTTAAGGCCTTTGGGCTGCCTTTGAGGCGCAGGCAACTGTGCATGAGATTGCCATACTAGCGGATGCAGGGCCTGGTAACCTACTTTCTACTCAACTGGGCATTTAGGCCCCAAGCCCTATAAAGCCTAAAGCCCTCAACCCTACAGCGTAAGCCCCTGAAGACCCAAACCGACAGAATATCAATTCTGCCAGAGCCCAATCATGTCTCTCTCCTCCACTACCGTCCCGCACTGTTTTGCCCTCTCTCCCTGTCCGTCCCCCCTTCCTGGAGCCTGTCTCAACATCTTATGGTTGGGATGCCGCAGGATGCGAGATCTGCAAACGGCCAACATCAGCCTGCCCGGCTGAAAAACCAGTTTAGTCCCTATATAGGTACTTTAAGGCTTAAGTATATACAATAAAGGTACATGGAGCCTTAAGGGAAGTTTAGAGTCAGATGAAAGCGTAAAGCCATGGACTTTCATGACCGTACCTCGCGACTGGCGAAGCTTCCAAAGCCATGCTGTCACACGCCATGTTTTCATGTTTTCCGTACCATCGCGGGTGGCACATGACGCGGGTCTCCTCGTGGTTTCTAGGTGGTCTCCTGATGATCCTGATGTCTCTTTGCTGGGGTGTCTCTGGGTGGTCTACAGGTGCTATATGCTCAAGAGACATGAGGCTTAGACTGGGTTTTGGATCACCACACTTAATACCTGTTTCTTGAGCAAGGTTATACTGTTTTCTCCCTGGCTACTTAAAAATGCCGGTAGATAGAAACTACGGAACTAGGTATTTTGAGCCAGATTGCAGAGGCCGAGTCCAGGCTTGGAACCCGAAAGTCATGATCAGAGTAAAACGTTATAGTTGTCTTCAGTGAAAAGAATACAAACTGCTAATGATAGTAAGATAGCAAGACTGGTGAAACAATATCCCATAACAATAATAGTTTTTAATCATTAATCAGCAATGGCTACAACAGAACTGGCAGAGGTTTCGGGTCCCCACTAGGTCCTAAGCTCAACCCTAAACCCTAAACCCTAAACCTGGGGCTCCTCATTAGAATTATAGTATTACGAGCCCCAAAACCCTAGTCCAATCATTCAGGCCCCTAGATTAATTCCTTACAATGGCCCTTATCGTAGCCCTTTAAGGACTCCTTTAAAGGGAACCCTTTTCTAATTACTACGATAGATCCCTTATTCACCCCTCTAAGACGGATCCCTCTAAAGGAACCCTGTTCTGATTATTAAGGCCCCGATACGGTTGATGACATAAATCCTGCATGACCCATAACAAGGAATATACCATAATTCCCATAGTCTAGGGCCCTTAAGGTAATGCAGGGTTTATATCATCAACCGTATGAATCCCAGAGCCCTATGTCCTCCTTACACAGGGGCCCGATCATGGCTCTCAAGCTTCCGATCCTCACTGGCAAATATGGGCTTAGGGGTTTAGGGGTTTGAAGGGCTCAGGGTTTAAAGGTGTAGGGTTCAAAGGGGTTCAGGGTTTAAAGGGGTTTAGGGGCCTGGGGGTTTAGGGTCAGGGTTTAGATTTTGTCGAAGAGGGGGATTGGGATTCGGTTAGGGTTCCTGCAAAGGGATCTATAAAGGGGTGCCTTAAGGGGTCTCATAAGGGTTCTATAAATTCTGTAGGGGTTCCTATAATGGCTTACAGGTTTAGGGTTCGAGGGTCGGGGCCTCCGGTCAAGGGCTCAGTCTTTCAGGCGTTAGGCGTGTTTTCTTAGTAGCTGAGTGGATACACTTCACACTTTCTGGGATAATATTACCCACCATAAAACTGAACCCTAAACCCTAAACCCTACTTTTGGGGGGGCTTATGAACTCAGCCGCTAAGTTGATTGACCTGCAACCCTCGAGGCCCTTGAAGACTAGGATGCCCAGTAGTACCCTTATTCCCTTTTGTCCTACTGTTGATGATATAAATCCTGCATTACCTTAAGGACCCTAAACCATGGGAATTATGGTATATTCCTTATTATGGGTCATGCAGGATTTATATCATCAACCGTAGGTTCCTTTTAAAGTTACCCAATACCAAGAGGGGAGCCCTTTTTATTCCTAGGTTGCTGGGCATCCTAGCTAAGGGGTTCTATAAGGGTGACTATAAGGGATCTATAAGGGCAGGGTTCTTTTAAAGGGTTCTATAAAGGGCTACTGTAATTAAGGTTGATGATCCATGACAGACCTTATGACACGTTACACCCTCAACCTCGAGAGCGGCCTGTCGATGCTGGCAGACTCCGCGGCCGCAGCATAGAAGCAGCAAGTTGCAACAGTGATTGTGAGGTGTCATCTTCACGGTTTCGCCCTCGCATGTCTACTCGCTGCCCCTGCAGGGTTCAGGGTGTCGAGCCCAAATCCTCAACCCGACGTCATGGACTTAAGCCCTGAGCCCAAAGCAGGTCACTTACCTATTACATTTCAGGGGCTAGGTAGCTCCCGAGCCCGAGAAGCCGTAATTTTCTAATTCCTAGGTTCCTGAGTAGCAACCTTTGCGCTTTCTATTCCTTACGGGGAATACTTCCCCAAATCATAATAGTCATTCCTAATATAGAAACCCTACATGCTACTATGTCGGTACTTTGGACCCTTTGGCATTTTGGGGTCTCCTCATTGAAGCAGAATATTAAGAAAACGGCACTCTCATTTCTACTGGGCTGCTCAGGAACCTAGTTCCCAAGCCAACTCTGGACACCCGCACCCGGATATTGAGTCCCGTTACCCAGAACCCTAAATCCGCAAGCCCCGTACTTTCAGAGTCGGCAAAACCTACCCTTTTTGTAGCTTAGGGTCCCTAACAATTCCATGCTAGGGTTCACAATACGGTTGATGATATAAATCCTGCATGACCCATAATAAGGAATATACCATAATTCCCATAGTTTAGGGTCCTTAAGGTAATGCAGGATTTATATCATCAACAGTAAGAACCTACAACTCAAGGTGGGGTTTGGTCGTTTAAGGTATACAGTTCCCACAACTCCTAGAACTTTCTTCTTAGAGTCCTAGCATAGTGCCCTTAGAGAGCAGGGCATAGGGATTCTTGGGCAATGCAGGAACCTGATTAAGAAACCTTGGGCCCTTACTATAGGGTTCCATAAGGGTTCCTCTAAAGGGATCTATAGAAAAGGGATCTATAAAGGGTTTAGGGTTTAGGGTAGGAACCTGATCAAGAAACCTTGGGCCTTTATTAGGGCTCCTTGTATGAATCCTACTATTTTGGTGTTAGAGGACAGGGTTTCTTAATCAGGTTCCTACAGTATACCTTGGGTACGGCCCCCACTCAGTAACAGTTGGATAATATTCATAATATAGATAAATAAGGCCCTTAATAGTAGCCTTATTATAGACTGTTACTGTATGGGGGCCGTACCCAAAGTATACCCCCAGTCCAAACCAGGATGGGCAAAGCTCCAGGGGCACGCCTCCGTTTCCGGGGCCTGTTGGTGTCGGGTGTCCCAGAAATGTGTAGGGTTTAGGGATTTTGGGGTTTAGGGTTTAGGGTTCATGGATTTTGGGGGTTTAGGGTTTAGGGTTTGCAGGGTTCCGCATGAGGGGTTTGGGGCTTGGTCTGGGGTGAGAGATCCCGATACAGTATTTCAGGAGTTCATGCTGCAGGTCCCGTCACGGATTGCTGCCGAAGGTGGGTAATGCTAATGCTACTACTAATGCTAATACTACTACTACTACTACTACTACTACTACTACTACTACTACTACTACTACTACTACTACTAATACTAATCCTAGGGGGTTCAAGGCTGAATGGCTTGAGGCTTGAGGTGGGATGTGCGTAAGATCAGAAGTAGGGTGGATACTTGTAGCATCGTGCATGACCCGCTTGACCTCAAAAGCATAGAGCTGTAGCTGATCGAATTCCTTAATTCCCTCTAAGCGCAATGCTGCTAACACCCATGTTTCTTTTGGGATTCTGCGCTTTTTGGTACCATTGATAATTTGTTATGAGGGGAGGGGGGGTGGCTCAACACAAGAAGATGCAGGGTTCAGATAGATAGTTGACAAGAAGCCAGATGCTGGATTTCGCTCATCATTCGTGCTAGTAGTCATCGTCGTCGTAGAAGTAATAGTAGTAGTTGTTGTTGCGGTGCCTTCTTCGTAGCCTTGAAAGTTCTACTTACAAGACACCATGGAGAATCCTACAAAACCCAGAGAATCCTTACGAACACCCAATAATTCAGAGACCCTCCGAAATCGAAAAGGGATTTAAGGGTTCCATATGGGCTCCATGGGGTCTTAGAGGCTTGGGCGCCTTGATTCTTGGCACAGGGGTTTGCGCCTCTTATAGAATCATACGAAGACCAGGTTGTTTTTTTGCGGCCGTTCTCCTTGCTTGTTTGAGCCCTTCGCCGAGGCTTGGTGTGGCGTTCATGTGCCCGGCGCTTAGAATGCCTTCGGTGTGGAGTTTTGTTGAATTCTATGTAGGGAATCTACGGAGGGGTTCTGCAAGGGCTTCGGTAATTAATCAAGGCTTTGGGGGCAGAGTTTCGGACTTTGGGATTTTGTATTTGAGTTGACCTCCGTGCTTGTGCATCAGAGCAGTCCGGCTTTGAGCATCCGGGTTCAAGTGTCCCAGCCCCTAAACGAGGCAAACAATCCTAATACATCCTGAACCCTTACTGTAGCCACTACACCCCTAAGCCCGAAACCCCAAAATAAAGGCCCAAGGTTTCTTATATAATAGAAGCAAAATGTGGGCATGGGCTCCACTCCTCGACTTAAACTACAACTTCCCAGAGACTCCAATATCCTAAACTAAGGAATATACTTTAAATCATGCTAGGGATCCTACTATGGTTTAAGGTATATTCCTCCAATATAAACTTGGCGTTATTCTTGTTGGCTCTTAGGACTTTAATTTTTTAGGTTTCTATATGAGGTCTAATAAGGAGGCTAAAAGTTTAACTTTTTGGAAGGGTTCACAAGTCAGCCAAGTAAACAAAGTTGGAGTCTTTAGGTTTCAACACCTCAAACACTACAGCCTCTGCTTGGAGGGTCGGGGGACTTAGTAAGTAGGTAGTAAGTAGACTTACAAGTACCCTAAAAGGGACCCTATTTGGGGTTATGGTACTTATAAGTCCCTAAACCAACCAGTTACTAAGTCCCCCGACCCTCCAAGCAGCCTCTGGCCTAGGCATCGGATGCGCCCGGGGCCCCTGTCTCTTTCCAAAGCGACCAGATACTTAGGGGCTGAGTCAGCCTTGTCCTTTTTCATGGTTCCCCCAAAAGAATAAACAGACCGGCTAGTAGACCTTCTTAAATAATTCCTACCACGGGATATAGGTAAAGGGCTCTGTCTATTATTTCTAAAAGGACAAGGGTGCTTTCCAAAGCGACCAGATACTTAGGGGCTGAGTAGGTAACCTTTAGCCTCTCCTACTGTAACCCAGAGATTCCAATATCCCTTCATTAAGGAATATACCTTATATCAGATATATTTTAAGGTATATTCTTCAATTAAGGGATATTGGAGTCTCTGGGAAATCCTTCTGGGCCAGGATACTCAGCCCATGAGGCTAAGATTGGTTGGCGTTCGATTTCGGCGGTTCGAAAAGGTTGCAGAGGTTCCCAGGTTTCGCTTTTCAGAGTGGTAGGGTTGAAGGCGTTTTTCTGGAGGCGTTCAGGGAGGTTTGAGGTTTTGAGGTTCTGCATTTTGAGCTTGTAGTTTGAAGTAATGAAGGTTGTTTTGGGGGGTTGTGCAGGGGGCGATTTTGCGGTTAGTGCTCCCTAGCCCTAAGCCCTATAAACCCTAAACCCAAACCGCAAACCAAGGTGTTAACGAAGTCCTGTGGCTATGTGTCGGATAAAGGTCGCGCAGCTCATCCCCTAAGCCCGAAACCCTAATTTTGCTTCAGGCAAGGCTGACTAGACCGGTTTCGAGTACTATAGGGGCCTACATGTTTACCAACATGATTCATAGAGTTCCTTATTATAGCTGTAGTCTACTACGCCCCAAAACCCTAATAAAATGTTTTTAGGGCCCCTATATTGCCCAACATTTGTGCCTCGAGCTAAACTACATACCGATTTGGGATCATGTTCGATGTGCCTTGCTTATGGATCTACGCTTATACAGGCGTGTTCACCGCCCCCGGATCAAGCCACTATAAGGAATAAACCAAATAAACACTAAACCCTAAAGCCCTAAACCCTACCTTCAAGCCGAAACCCCCTAAACCCTAATCTCTAAACCCTAAACCCCATGAACCCTAATCTCTAAACCCTAAACCCCCTAAACCCTAATCTCTAAACCCTAAACCCCCATGAACCCGCAGCTCCAAGAAGAGATTGAGGCTTGTTGTTCTCATATATAGGGATTTTCCGAAAATAGGGGATCCCAATATAGTACCCCAAATAGTAGGATCCTTATTTCAAGGACCCCCAAATCCTTCTTACCGGAAACTCCCATATACGGGCATGACTATTTCATACGACTCGCCCATAGGGCTCCTTTATATGGTAAAAACCGGCCGGTTGAGGGTTTAGAGTTTAGGGTTTAGGGTCTAGGTTTCAGGGTTTAGGTTTAGGGTTTAGGGCTTAGTCCGTAAATCACTTGCAGAAGTCACAGACATGCGAGTCCCAAGGTTTTAGAAAAGAGGCGGCGCCAACATAGAACCCTGTCGAAAGAAATCCCCAGACACTCCAATACATCCCCCCATCTGATTTAGGTATATATTCCAAAATTCCCTGGAAGAACAAACCCTTATAGATCCCCTTAAGGAACCCTTTAAGGAACCCTGAGGTAACCTGAGGTATAAAATTATCAATTTAGTAGGGTCCCCAATACGACTTAGGTATATGTTCCCAAATTCCCTTTTCGAACCCTTGTAGTTCCCTTTACGGAGCCCTTTGAGGAACCCTGAGGTATATTGTTATTAATTAAGGGATACTAGAGTTTCCGGGTCCCTCACCACCGAGGCGGTGAACTTCGGGTGGCTGTGAATGGGAGCTGCCTGGGGTCAAGTTGCAGCCCCAAGGGCCCAAAGGACCGAATACTTGGAGGTTCAAGGGTAGTTTTAAGTAAGGTTATAAGTAGGACAACTATACTTTTAACCCATATTAGGGGGCTTATAACCCACTTATAACTACCCAGGAACCTCCAAGTAGGGTTTAGGTATCCTTTAAGGGGGTCTATAAGGGTCTACTATAATGGCTACTAGGTTCTCGGTTTTAGGATAGTAGCTATGTAGGTTAAGCTTTGGACAGTATATGATTATTAGGTACTTGAACCCTTGGGGGGGTAGGGCTCAGTATAGAGGCTTTACTAGTGTCCTATACTGTTTTGGGGGTCCCTTACTATAGATTCGTGGTATAATAGGCCACTAATTTCTAATTATTGAATCAAGACATATTAAGACCCCGATAGTAGCGGCTTTTAGGTGTACTGGGGGTTTCTGTGTAGGGAGTGCGGACATAATTTGAGGGTTTAAAGTTCTTTGGGTATACGGTTTTGGGCAGATGGTTGTTTCTGTGAAGCTGTTCCTTTTAAGCCTTATGGGATGCGTCGGTATAACTATATGAAAACTGTACCCCTGATATGGGAGTTTTCGAAAATAGGGGACCCTAATATAGCCCCCTAAATAGTAGGATCCTTACTATAAGGACGCCAAATTTAAGGGACCCCCTAGTTTTCGGAAACCCCTGATATAGGAAACCCACATGCAGAATAGTCAAGCGTGCACAAAAAGAACCTGTTACTGGCGTCCGATACTAATCCTGGGCCTACGCCACGGTTTAGGGTTTAGGGTTTTGAAGCGCCGTGACCGTGGGGAAAAACTATAAGTATGTGTGGCGAGGCGAGCGGTATCGGCTGCTTAGGGTTGAGGCTGCAGTAGGAGGTTCCCCCCGAGCTGTCGAAGCATGTTCTAAAGACACAGTGCAACTCAGGAAATCCTAGCCTGAAATGTACCCTGTGGCTTATGTCTTCCAGATTCCACTTGCGAGTGCTGTTGTTATGCATGATGATTTTGTTTTTTCAGCGCAGGGGCGGGGGTTCGGGGTGTTAGGCTAAACCCTAAAACCCTAAACTCTGTCAACCCTCAGCCCTAAGCCCTAAACCCTCAGGACATCCTAATAACTTGCCACTCTCCTTCGAAGCTACACAATTCATTCAACGCTAGATCCGCTAGATCAAGAAGAAGGACGCGGAGGGTGTGGGGGAGGTTGGTTAATTCGGGGCTCCAGCGCTTGCTGTTTCCATCAATCTCGGAGTCCCTGCGCCTGATCGCTTGCCTTGAAAAAGGCACATCTTTTAGAAGCTGCCCCCACCCTGTAATAGTGACTATAAGGATTATATTACGGCCCTATTATATTCCTATTATACCACTATTACAGGGTGGGGGCAGCTTCTAACACATATTTGTTCACCTCTTCAGGCTTTTCGGCTTGGGCCGTCAGGTTCCTCGGTAGTGCTCTAAGGCTTCCAGGTTTTATTCCCATATAGGGAATACTTTAAGGCCAATGTATATACTAAATGAGTACATGGATAGGGAATGAGGTTTTATGATGTAGGTGTCAGGGTTGTGCTATAGGGCTGGAGGGTTTCAGCGCGTATGGGGTCTGGGACTAGGATCCAAGAGCGACTTGTATTGACCTTCGCATCGGGTGTTGACAGTCCTCATGCTAGGCTTTGTAGGGCCATTGTACGGGTGCTTGCCCACGGAGTGTGCCTGAGCACACCTTGAACTTTAAACTTTAACCCGGAAAGCCAAAAAAACAACCAAAGACGGAGAGCATCAATCCATAACAACTGGCTGTAGTACCATAGGAGCCTGGTTAACTGCCAATATTTATCTTAGGCTTCCTTTTTACAATTAGAATAGGAGATACCCCAAAGGTTTATTCGAATTGTTAAGGCCCCTTCACTACATCCTTTGGAAGATGTGGCTGAAAAGCAGGTAGGGAAAGGGCAAGGGCTGTTCCCTCATTGTCGTAGTCTCTGTAACAGGGTTGACGGTTTAAGGATTTAGATTTTTGGTTCTGACAATGATACACTGCGAACATCTCATTCTAATCATGAAGGCTCCAATTTCGGGGTTTGCGGTTTGCGGTTTGGTATATACAACTACGCGTAGCATGGGAGCCACTGCATCAGCGCTTTGGGTGCGCAGGGTTGAGGGTTAGGAGGTCCTCGAACAGGCTTTAGCATGGGAGGGTCGTTGTACGTTCCCCAAGGGTCCAAAGGACCCAATAATAATGTACTTGGGTTTAGGATAGTAGTTATGTAGGTTTATATATGGGAGAGTATATGATTATTCGATACTTGGACCCTTAGGGGTTCGGCTATATTTATTTCTTCAGGAGCTAAGAGTTGACTACGTCAGAAAGCCACCCACATTCGCTGAAAGCGCCCTCGTCGAAAGTCTCGCCGGGCAGCCAACATCCGGCTGGACGGAGCGGGTGCTCCTGGGTGCTGGAATTGGGGGGGGCGGGGGTGGGGGTAATTCTAGATTCATGCAAAAAACCCTAAAACCCCTAAACCCATGATTGCTTGCTACGAATCCCAGCCCTCGAACCTGAGCCAAGCACCTGATTAACCCACCGAGAAAGCGTAAACTTTACTCCAAAAGCCCTAACGACCACAGCCCCGCAGCATGATTCCCAGAACCCATATCACCACACCCTGAGCCCTTCAACCCCTGAGACCCGTGGAAGCCTCAACCCCCGAAGCCCCAGTCAAAAGCTACCTTAACTCATATCAGGGATCCTACTCTGATTTGAGGTATGTTCCTTAATTTAGGGATATATTGGAGTCTTTGGGAAGCAGAGAGAGACCTTTGGGACTGCAAGCGCCATGGGCAGTGCCCTTGTCGCGTCCGCGAGCAGGTTGGGTTCAAGGGGATTCTTCCTGGGATTCTAACCCTAGACTGCCCTAGACCCTAAATTCTAAACCCTGGTGAAGTCTTTAAAGGAGGTGGTCGGACCTACTGGTTCGTTTGAGTTCCTTCGATTCTGCCTGGACCGGAAACTTTCTAAGGGTTCCTTTCCATGATTTCCTTATATGAGTCCTGAACAAGGTAGGCTTCTTTTAGGGACCTATCGGGTTCAGGTTTAGGTTTAATGGGCCCCTTCAGGGGATCTGTGCGTTTTGGGTTTGAGGCTTCTATATGGGCTCGATGTTGCCGCATTTCAGGCGTCCTTGCCGCAAGGATGATATTGGCATGCATTGCTTGCATGGGTTTGAAATTTGTTTGCAGTTGGATCCTAATACCCGGATGGACGAAAACTCCGGCATATAGGGCTCAGGGTTCAGGGTTTAGGGGGTCTAAGTCATTTGGGTCCCCTTCGATTTGTTTGGGCTGAAAAGGCTGCCTGTAAATCGAAAGCTTCAGCCTTACATTGAAGTGGCACGATGAGTAGCGCAGGGATGCTTACCGATGAGCTTCAGGAGCATGATGTTGAAAGATAGACCACTTGCAGTAAAGCCGACAGCCTTGGGCACCATGTTGTACGGCTCAGAGTTGAAGGTTAAATCTGTTGTGATTGCAGTGCAAGGGATAAGGCGTGAAGTTTTGAAAGCTTTGGGCGATTTCGTTGCTGGGCTGGGGATACCCTGTTCTCGACATCGATAAAGCTGCTGGGATCATATGGGTGGTTGTCAAAATTAGGGCCCGTTGTGGGGGTACCCTAAAGATTAGGTGCCGCATTATATTAAGGACCCAAATAGGGACCCTAATTTGGACAACCCCCCCATGTGTCCGTCAGCGGATTCTGACATTGGGCGACTCCCTGCAACTTGGGACGGCTTGAACCAACATGGACTGCGACTTGCGTGCGATGGAACGCATTCCATCCACAACAGCGGGATCAGAGTGATCGCGTTGGGATGGCAAGTCCCCCGCAAGAGCATTGAGAACACCTTTGTCTGTCCCTCTGGCATTTGCATTGTCGCCCACTGAGAGTGGCCCGGCGGTGCGTGAGCCCCGGAGCACCACACGTTCATACTTGTTTTGGCGCGGGCTTGTTCCTTAAAGGAACCGTTACGAAAAGGGTTTCATACTTTTTTCTCCTTGGTTCTTTCGAAGCCTTTAAACGTAGTAGCTGCCAAGTAAACTTTAAACTTCAGGTGAAAATATTAATCATAAATTAGCCCCTCTAGAACTGAAGGTTTAAGTTCTTTTTAGGGCTGAGGAACTCACCAACTAAGTCATGTTCAGGGTCCCGACCTGTAGTCTCGAAATCTAACGGTTGAATGAGAGGAGCCTGCACAACGAAGCTTTCACTATGAGCCCTGAGCCCCGAACAAGCCCCTAAACCACGAAACTCAACCCCAAAACGCAAAACCCCTGAAATTGTTAAGGCTCAACTCGAACCCTTAACCCGGGACCGTCATCCCCAGATCGGTTACCACCCGACAGCCTTAACCCCACCTTAACCTACCAAAACCTACAAAAAAGAAGGGTCCCCAGGAATTCCATATTGGGGTTTATAATAGGAACCTACAAAAAAGCTCCAAACCGCGAAGCCGAAACTCTTAGGAGCTTACAGTGCGCCCCATAGAGTTTGAAACCGGGTTAAGGCCAAATAGTCCTGGGAATCCCTATTACATTACTCTTAAGGATTGAGGCTATGGGGTTTCCAAGTTTTGGGCTTCGACTGTAGTGGGTTTAGTGTTCAGGGTGTACTTGGAGGTTCATGGGTAGTTAGTTTTAAATGGTGTTATAAATCCCCTAATGTGGGCCAAAAGTACAGTTACCCTACTTATAACTTATAACCCTACTTATAACTACCCATGAACCTCCAAGTAGGGTTCAGGGTGTAGCCTATCTGTGAACCGAGAGAATTTTTTCGCACCAAACAGATTTGGACCCTATGCCCTGGACCCTGAACCCCAAACCCTAAACTCTAAACCCTACGCTTTAAGCCCTAAACCCGAAACATTAAACCCTGAAGCCTGAACCCTAACCAGTAAACCCAAAAACAACCCAAATCCTTGAACCCTG